TACTCTCGTAATATAAAGTATTAGAAAATAATATGCACGTTTTTTGTAGCACCAATTTGTACTTTTGCTTTTTACGTATACAGTTGGAAGTTGGTACATAAGTACTATATCTATAAAAATAGATTTGGAAATGTATTGTAGAGTAGATGTCCACAACATTTTTTTTTACTTAATAGGTATATGATGATACTATAATAAGTAAGGTAAGACACAAAAATAATAATACACCGATGGCACCATCTGTTCAGTAAAATAAAATGTAAAAAGTATAAATATTAAACATGCAACATAAATAGCAATAACCTAAGCCTAACTAATTGATAAAATAGTATTAATTATTGTTTGTTATTTAAATGTACTATGTAGGTACATCAAAACTCAAAAGGCAATGTCCTTGCATGGTTGTATAATACTTGTTTGTTTGAGTAGCATATAGGTATAGACAATAAAGTAGGTAATAGACTTAAGACCTCAAATACGAAATACCTGTTTCCCCTATACATAAAACGTTCATAGGAATATAAAGAGAAGAAGCACAAACAAACGCCGTTACCGAACTGTATATATACACTTTGCAAATAAGAAATACAATATGCAATGTTGATTTTTCAACTAAAGCGATTTTTATGTCCCGGTATTCATCAAGTTCCTGACCCGGACGACAAATTAATAAATTATACCGGTTTTCTATTATAAGTCTCGTACCTTGAAAAATGTTCAGTAATACGAAAACCAAGAAAAATTATTACAGACATTTATATTTTATTTCATACTTCTGATGATGTTTAAAATAAAATAAAATTTATTAGAACTAACATATAATATTGCCTATTCCCTCAAATGACCTTCTAATCGATAATATTCGGCCATCGTTTATTTTGATCTATTCATTAACATTTTCAAGTATAACTTATTATTTAAGTATTCGATATGATGTCACAAAGATAGCATCATATAGCGAGTCGTATAACAAAACTATTTGTTATTTGTTTTCGACTATGGCTCGGTCTTAGTGCCGTCTACGTCGTGAACGTGAGTTTTTGTTGTATCAAAGTAAATATTAGTATCCCTACTTTGTTTTTTGGTGATTAAGGTACCTAATCAAGTGATAGCCGTTTGACGAATGTTAAATATTTAAACAACAATAATGGCTTCAAAAATAGTATGTCGATTCACAAAATGTTGTCGGCTACAAAATGAATTTCCTTTTATAAAAAAAAAGTAAAAACGAAACCAAATTACGATTTTTGATGAATAGGTAGGGAGAGCAGAAAAGGTTTTATTTCCTCAATCGTGGATACTGGATATTACTGTACACTGTACAGTACACAAATACACAATAGTCATTGGTATTATCAAAAAAGGTTGAATATTTTAGGCTTAATTTGATAGTTATAGGAAATATCCCTTAAAATTGAATCTCAAAGAAATAACATCCATATCCGGCGGTGGCGTGTGTCCACGAAAACATAGTGCACACAAAAAGTGAAGTTGTTGCACCACTTGCACATGCAAAGGCAAGAGTTAAAAATGGTACGTCTTAGGAAATTATGATCCAATAGTTTAGTGGTTTAGTCACATGTCCTGCAGGCTACAAATAGAATTCGGAAATATGTATAGGGTAGTGAATAATATAAGTACCTAACTGGCTATTAAGTTATAGAGTTCACCTGTTTTTGTGAACACTTTATACCTGTATTGCCTATAAAATCATAACTAATAAAGTAATAACTCTTACAATAAAATAATCTAACCTAACCATTGTATTAGCGAATATGACCGAAAACAAGCGTCGTTGGAGGGCAGCAAAAATATCGATGGTTAGGTACAGCACAGCTATATTTTATGCATTAAAAAATATGGCACAATATGTCATATTATAATTTATAGTATACCTACAGGCTACAGTTAAAATTATAAAAATATGCAATACAAAATTTTAAATATTATAAGTAAAAACAATGAACGACTCTAACATAGAAATAATTTTGCTTGAAAATCTACGAATTTCTATATATCGTGTTGGCACAAAACTGTAAAAATCAGGAACACCAACATCATTGAATTTATTTTTTAAATTTGAATCATTTTGAATCTCGATCAGTTCCATTTGTATATGTGTTGAAACATTTACTGCGTCAATTGAAAAAGGAGAGGTAAATAAGGCAAAATCATTTTCTAAATATTGGAAATCTTGAAACCTATTTTCGAATTCAGTCTTCAAACACATAATTTTTTCTGAATATTTTTTGTAGGAAATTGGATCATTATTAATTTTTGTATAAGTCGTGCATGCTGGGAAATGTGTTAAGTCTTCGTTTTGTAGTTGTGTTTTAAATAGATCTAATTGACATTTGAAAGCCTTAACATGGTCATTAATGGCTAATTTGATTTTTCCCTTGTAATTTTAAATTTAAATTCGACAAATGCTTCGTTATATCGACCATGAAGGATAGGTCTTATACCCACATTGGATCAGATAAAACGCTGACGTCTTGTTCTTTAGACTCTAAAAATATTTGTATGGCATCTCAGATCTCTTAGTTTCCAGAATCTTTCCAATACAGAGGAACACGATAAGGGCCGCAAAAAAATGAGCCGCGGGCCGCGTGTTTGACATGCCTGACTTAAGGGCTACAATAATTTCCTAGTCCTAAACACAGACAATGTGCGTCACTGCGTCAGCGATTGAAATTGAAAACCGATCGTCAAACCCATTATGGTAACGAGCTACGAGCTGCTGCGGTGTCTAACAGAAGTTTAAAATATGATATTGACCATCGATACTACGAAAAACTGCCAATAAATGTATTAAAAAATAAACTGTTTTCAAACCAACTTAAGAGAAAACTTACTGATGTCACGGAAAGTCCTTCAAAAATCACAAATACTAAAAAATATTTAAATTGAAAATATTATTATTTTGATACATATATATATATACATATACATAATTTTTTTTTGTTAATCATCATATTTGAATAAATTGAGACTGCCACTCGATGCCTCGCTATGGCCCAGGATACAGCAACAAAAACGTCGGGGTCATCCTAAACGGCGGCGCAGCAAAACATGCGCCGGACGAATCTCTTCGTCAGACTCCACATGTTGCGACGCAGTTTAGGATGAACAGAGTCGTCGACCAATTTCTGATCAGAAGCTTCGCTGCATTCCCCGAGATCTGCCGGTTCTGGGGTGTCCGTCAGTTCGAAACTCATACGAATATTGGGCGCCGACGACCATCGACCCCCCCCCCCTGAACGGTCACCTGCAAATTCGTCGAACTCCCGAACCTTGGACGATGTTGCTAGGAGTTCAGGCGCCACCGGCTTCACGGACGCACAAGACGAGATGTCACTTCCGTTCTGCTAATCCGTCGACTCCACAGCACCGTTCTCCTGCAGTGACGCGTCGCGTCCCGCGTACTTCGCAACAGACACTTTGTGGCCTGGTGCAGGACTGCAGGATGGGTGCCCGTTCTGTACCGGCACTTCGGGCAGCTCACGAGGATTGCGGGGTTGCGTGACCGGCGTGGACAAACGGCTTTGGATTTCGAAGTCGCCTGCCGCGGCTGGCTGACGACGAATCCTGGCGGCCACGTTCGGCGTAGACGAGTGTCTTCTCAAGGCCGGCCATGTTCCGACCCGTGGAGAAAATGTAGCCGGGATGTGGAACATAGCCGACCTTAACTCTTCAAATATCATTTGCATTTTTTCTCCTTCCATCAACTGCATGTTAACCACGGGTTTCTCGTTAGTAGCCACCGCAGACATGTTAAATGATATGACTTAAGCGCGACAACGATATAACGGTTGATACTGGTGATGTACGGAACATTAGACGCAAGTAGACGATGTGAGGTAGCTTAGTTAGTGAGTAGTGATCAATACGTCAAAATATACTTCGAGAGACAAAAATAATTTATACTAGTCAAATCTATCGTAACGATGTTTTGTTGATTCTGTATCGGCCAGAGGGACTCTATTAAATATTATAATAAATGTATTCATTTAAAATTAAAAAAAAAACATTTTGATTGCATGGCCAAGACTAAAAATATTTTATTGATGATTTACTTGAATACCTAATTATAATTTGTGAAAATAAAGAATTATCTCAAACAGTGACATATATGTTTATCCGATGGCCGCGTGTTTGACATGCCCGCACTAACCTAAAATCAGAGAGGCTAATAAAAAAATAAAATAATTTTAGACATTTGGAACGCGAAGTCGCGAACATTGCAAATACCATTTTTTTTTTAAAAATTGTTTGCAGGTAAATTTTTTGTATACTCGATAAATTGATTATACAGGTAGTTTGATCATTTTGGAGGTCATTGAAATAATAAATATATAAATCTTACCAAACCCAAGACGGAATACAAGATTCTTCCTTATAAGTTATATTACCTACTGGAAATTCAAAACTTTAATTTTGTTTTATTGTGAATTGTGATTGAAGTAGAAATTTTGACATTGCGGGAAACTTACATTTAAAATTATGTTGTATCTTGCATGCTAACACTCTACTCCACCATAGCTCATGCTTATAACTGTAGATATATTCTTCATAAAATATGAATCATATTATGTATAATTCAAAGAAAAAAAATCTTTGAACTATTTTTGTTATGTTATTTAAAATGTCATGGTTTAGTAAAAGAATTAATTCTGTGTGTTACTTGAGAGCTAGATGTCTAGAAAGACTAAAAAATAAACAAACACAAATGCCACAGCCTGACAGCCTACAAGTCATAATCTCTAGTAAGTAGTAATACTATAAAGTACAACACATATTTATGTATGGTATATTTATTTCAAATACATTTTTATTTTACAGGAATCCATTCTTATTTTAAATACATTTGTTTATCAATTGTTGATTTCAAAAATAATAAGATAAAAATGTTTGATCGTTATTTTTTTTTTGTAAATTATTTGAATCAAACAAATAAATGAATATAAAAACAAGTTACTTATTCTTTTTATACAAATCAATATTACAAAAATAATAAAATTCAATATTCAGAATAAAGCAAAAATTAATAAACAATTTAATGGTTGTACTAATGAATGGTTACAAGTGTAAATAATAAAAACAAATGTAGAAAAAATAATAAATTTGAATCATAGTTTAGAATCTGAATCTCATACAGATTTATTATTGTTACTCGAATGTGACACTTCAAGATCTTGTAGTTTGAATGACATATCTAGATAGGATTTAAATAATTATTTAAACATAAAAAAATAAATTTGATTAATGTATTAATTACCATTGCATTCATCCTCTGAACAGCTTTCGTCTGGAGTAAAACGACATTCATTACTCAGATATGACTTAAGTTTGCCACTCGAAGCTAACATTAAACCTAAAAATGGGGGCGATGGTTTCAAAGGCCTGGTTAAATATTCTGGATGGAATTGTGTGGCCACATAATATGGATGATCATCAAGTTCACATATTTCCATTCTAACTTTTTCTGTATCTGTTCCAACAAATTTTAAACCAGCTTTTTCTAGACGTTCTACATAATCAATGTTAACTTCGTATCGATGACGATGCCTTTCTTCAATTGTTTCAAATCCACCATAGAGTTTATCTAAAATTATACAAATATATTCATAAATGTAAATATTTATAAAATTATTAACATATGACCTTTAAGATCTACTTACGTATAATAGATGAATTTTCTTTTTTAAAGACTGTTGTTCTTTTACCGAGCCTCATTGTGCCACCTTTATTTTCAGGACAATGTTCAGGCATTTCGATTATTAATGGATCTTTGGCATTAGAATTTATTTCAGTAGTATCAGCATTTTCCAAGTGTAATACATTTCTATGAATATAATTATTTGGTTGTTATTTATTATAAATTTATAACACACTTTGTAAATATTTATTAATTTAAAAATTACCTGGCAAATTCAATAACAGCAACTTGCAAACCAAGGCAAATTCCCAAGAATGGTTTACGATTTTCTCGACACCATTTACATGCTTCTATTTTACCCTCAACACCTCTAGTACCAAAACCTCCAGGTACAATTACGCCACTAGTTATGGTAAATAAAATAGTATATAAATATTTTGTTGAACATGGATGAATAATTAACTTACTCACTACGGCATAATTTTTGCCATGCCTCATGGTAATCAACTGGATTTGTTGATTTAGTTTCTATTTCAAGATTTGCAGCTTCAACATACTATAAATCACAAAAAAAATAGTTTAATATTGTTTGAAATAGGAAATTAAGATATAAAAAGTTATTACTGTAATAGCCACTTTATGGTTGATATGAGCAGCAGCGTGAATCATAGATCTAGAAACTGATGCATATGCATCAGTAAGTTGTGTATATTTACCAACTAAAGCTATTTTTATAATTTTTTGAGAGTTGTCAATTCTGAAAATAATTAAAGATACAAATAACCAAAGTATTTAAACTATGTATATATTTTTTTTATGGCAGAGTCATTTATTTATTACCCGGTTACCCCCCCCCCCCACAACCAATTATATGTGAAAGTAGACAATTTAATAATAAATGTAATATATGTTTTTAATTTTAGAGCACTTAAAGAAACTTATTTATCATAAAAATAACAAATTTATAAATCATTAATACTTATAGTGCAAGACTTGGTTTTTGTTTAGTAAATTAAGTATAAATAAGTTTCTAAAATTTCAGGAAAGTATTTTAAAATATAAATATTTTAGAGTTTTATTTATATTTATGAATTACTTGTGTTTTTAATTTTAACAATTATAAAACATTTAACTTGAATTAAATTATTTCAGTTATTAATTATCGATACTTTCGAGTTTCAGCATACACTTCTTTTTTTTTTAATACAATAAGAAAAATTGAAATAGTTAAATATTTTTTAATTAAAAATACTACTGTCAATGTACTTATAATATAAAGAATATAAATTATACTTGTCAGATAGTTTTTTCCACTGTTTCATAAAAATCCGATTATAAGCTGCATTTATAGGGAAATTTAAACGATCTTGTAAAAATTCTAAAGCACCTTGATTTTCCATAAATAAAGGCACTTTATATATTGAATCCAAATCATGCATAAACAATACCTAAAAAAAATACTATTTTAAGAATAAAAACAAATACTAATCAAATAGGTTAAACATACTTGTCTTGAAGCTACATCACAGAAAGTCGATATTTTTTTTTTAACTTGTTCAACATTAGAACATGGTTTAGTACTTCTACAAATAACAAGATCAGGTGTTAAACCTAAACCTCTTAGTTCACGAACACTGGCTTGAGTTGGTTTTGTTTTATCATCTCCAGTTGCACCAGGCTAAAGAAAAAATGTATTATAAAAGTGAAAAATATATCCTCATAGAATATGAATAGTTAAAAATAATAGAGTATGTACCTGAAGAATAAATGAAACATGCGCACACACAAAATTTTCTTTTTTTACTTTAAATTGAAACTGTCTAAAAGCTTCAACAAATGGCATACTTTCTATATCACCAATCGTACCACCAAGTTCAACAACACAAACCTAATTAAATAATTATTATTAAGTAGGTATTTATAATTTAGTATGACAGGGATATTAAGTGTTGTATTTGGCATTATTACATTAGACTTAGTATAAGTAACAAGCTGCTGTTACTGGTAATGTAAATTTTATTTTTTGTACTACAAAAAAGTTTAATACCAATGACCCATTAAATTAATGAAAAATATTCTTAAATGGCTAAAACCTACCTCCAAAAATGTAAAGTTGGAAATAGTTAATCTTCTATGTATGAGAATAAAATATATCTTTTACAATTGATTCAGATGAAATGTATTGATAATTTATATGCAAATAATAATTTATTAAACAGTTACGTAAAACTATGCAAAATACAAAACACTACTTGAGGTATATTTAGTACTATTAATAATCTTACATCAGGTTCTACTTTATCATCGCTCACTGGTTGTTTGGCTACACGTTCAACCCATTCTTGTATAGCATCAGTGATATGGGGTATAACTGAAAATCATAATATAAATTTCAATGCATTTATAAAAATTACATAAATTAAGTACTTAATATCTAAATTGAAAGGAATTATTGAACTGTAAAAAACATAACTGTTTTGTGGATAAAAATATAAAATCAATTTTAAAGATTGTTGTTGAGATTGGTTGTAGTTGTAATACCAATAGGTCAAACGATCACTTTAAATGGATGTATAATTAAGAAAATATATTTATATCTTATAAGTTAATTATATTTAAAAAAATAAATAAATAAATGTTGTGTATTTTAGTTTTAGAAACCATAAAAGTAGTATTAAAAAGATATACAAAGTGTGTATATGGCTTATGATTATAAATAAAATTGCCCAAGTCAATACTTATAACAAGTACAGAATTAGTTAAAAATAAAGATATTTTTAATTATTTTTTTTAAAACCATATTCATAATAAATAAAAACGTTTTCCTTGTAAATTCTTGTCTGTCTATAACTATAACATATTCAGAATAAGAGTGAACCTCTCTTAAACATGCTGCCAAACACTATCGAACCTAGGCAATGTCATAATTCACAATGGTTAGTGACCGTCTTACACAGGTATCATACTATAGTTTCATTCCAGCCTATTTTAATTTTTGGGGTGAAAGCTATTTATAGGTGGGTGATGCTCTTATGACCAGTTTTTGTTAGATAAATTATTCCTATAAATTGACTATACTTGATTTTTGTAGTAACTTGGAAATTATTTTGAGTTAAGGTCAATCAAAAAAAATTGAATAAAAAAATATTAACTATAGAAAGCTATTGTAAGTAACACACACAATGATATACTCTGTATATAAAACCTTTATACATTTTATAGTTTTTTTCTTCATTATTTTGTTTCAAATAATAAGCTTGGTATTATTCAGTAATTAAGAAATTAGTTTGATAATGTTTCTATACTATGTAATACATAATTATAACTTATAAGTTTATATAATGGATATCATTAATAACAAAATATTGATGAATAGCATGAATCAAATTAATTGATTTTTATATTTTTGGTTTTAAATTTAGTTCTATAAAAAAAATTATATCCAGATTATACCTACATATCATTATATTTTATAGTGTATTGTATTGCAAGTAGAAATTGACTTCCCACATAAACTATACAATATACATCCTATTTTCTGTTAAGCTTCTGTATAATGAACTGTTATTGATGTTATGGAACAAATGCACTTTACCATCCCATGCAAATTTTTGGTTTTTTTTTTTAGAAATTGTTTATATTAACAATTTAAGTACAATGGTACAATCAGAATTTGTTGGCCCGACTTAGTTTTGAAATTATGGCTTTTGGATGCTAACAATTTTGAGTTATGACGTGTGACTGCAACACTACGTTTATTACATATTTCACAATTTTTTTCTTTATTTTCTTGAAACTTACTTAATTAAAAATTAGCATGAGGTGGTAAAGTGCATTTTAGCCGACGTTCTTTATGTCGATATTCACCAAATTATTTCATAAAACAAAAGGAAGTAATCCACCTAACAGCTGCTTATGTTTGGTTAAAACATAACTATACGTTAGTTTATATTCATCTAATTTGGACAGGAACTTCTTTGCTTGCCTGGCATAAAAAAGCATTTATAGTCCATTTGGAGACAAAGGCCATTATCCTAAGATTCAACCCGGCATTGAAAATTAAAAAAAAATAATTACGATGTAGGTATGACAAGAAAATTTTCACCTTTACAAATCCACTAATTATATGTATACAGATAATTCTAGACATTCAATTAGACTATTAGAGCACTAATTGATATGAGTTCTATTAGACTATTAAGTAAAAATGTAAGACAAATTTTTAGTATATCTTCATTATTATATCATCTAGAAATTGAAGACAGAACAGACCTTGGACAGTTTTTCCCAAGTAATCGCCACGTCTCTCACGATTGATGACTTCTTGATATATTTTGCCAGTCGTAATGTTATTCTGGCTATGCAAAGTGACATCAAGAAATCGTTCATAGTTTCCCAAATCCAAATCAACTTCGCCACCATCATCCAACACATATACTTCACCTAGAAAGACAAATTACTACCTGTTTAAATATGTACAAGCATATAACACAAAGTAGACAGTTAATTATATGCAATTTCAAATGTTTTCTAGTAAGTATTCTAAAGTAGTATTGAATTAGATATAAATTTTAGTTTCAATCTAAGGAACTTAAGTCGATAGGTACCTATACAATTTATTTAGCATATTTTTATAATTCTAATTTTAAATTGCATAAGTAGAGATAGTCTATGAATACACGTTTATTCAACAACCATATTTGTAAAATGTATTCATTTACAATAGTTGGTAGTTTAGTACCTACTAATTGAAGACAAAATTACCATTATTAAAAATGAGTACAATCACATATTTTGAAATTTGATTTTCTCGCTTAATATGTAACTAGGCAATTCGAAAAACCTATAACTCTTAATTCTTAAAGCTTGAAAAATTAGCAATTCATCAAATCTGAATGCCAAGAAGGCAAGTGGTGAGGTAATAATTAGAGTACCTATGTATGAATAAGAAAATATTATAACACGGTCATAAACGTTTTAAAAAAAGTATTTGCACATAAAGCTTGTATTTAAACAGTAATCAAAATAAAAGAATTGTTTGTCGTGCACATTTCGAAGGTTCTTGGACGATCATCGTTCATGAGTTACATAAAACCAAGATCTGATCATTACACGCACACACCGTGTTCGTATGGTGAGAATGTCCCGGCGTCAATGTTCAGATACGGATCGATCTTAATGGACGTCACGTGGACGCCGCAGGATTTCAGAAGCGTGCCGATGGACGAGGCGATGATGCCTTTGCCCACGCCGCTCATGACACCGCCGGTGACCAAAATGTATTTCATGGTTTATTATTCTTCTGGTCAAAAGGAATCGAGAAACGCCGAGGACGGCCGTAGTAAATATACTAGTAAATGTCACGGACGCGCGAACAAACACACTGAACGACTGAACGGCACGGAGATCCGGTTGCAGAGTAAAGACAATACTAACGGGTATTACAGTTATTGAGATATCATTGATCGTGTGTCCTCGTCGACACCACGAAAACGACGATAAATTATCAATGACAGTTGTACTATCGTAGAACGCAGACAATATGCAACGTCGTCAGTGGACAGGGGATGACGCTACCGCGCAAAACCCAAAACGTTTCACCGTAAGTACCCAACGAGGACGTCTTCTAAGTGCAAGTTACAACAGTTAATAGACTACGACACTGCGGTGTACGGATTACGGATTGACATTCGTCCGCATGAGCATGGTATTACAACAATTTATAATTGTATACTATTGTGGACTGTAGTTGCGGGTGAGGGTCGACAACGTTTGGTTGGCGTGCGAAAAGCGCGGAAAAACATAAACACACATTTTTAGGTTATTGTTTTTTATTATGGTTATTATTATGTGGTAACATCACAGAATACCTGTGGTTACTTTTTAATTTAAGAGATAATATTGTTGTTCACCGATAACAATGATAAAATTGTAATATCGAAATCGAAATTATCTATAACATTTTTCACGAAATAAAATAGATTTTCTATCTTTATGATGAATGTATATGCCAATGTAGAATATTGTATATTATAATTGCCTGCCAAAATTGTTATCTATGATTTGATTTTTTCTGAGGTGCGTGACTGCGTGTGCCAAGTCCGTGTTTTGTCTCGTGACAATGTTATGGCATAATATCGCACGATTTTTTTCCTACAGGTTTCTACTTGAAATTGGCTGACTGAAATTATCTTTGCCACGAAGGTCAAGGACGAACGTGTTCAAATGATAAGAAGACTGATCAGCTTATTGATATAATATTCAAACATTTTTTCACAATTTCTACGCTACCTATACTATAGTCTATAATACATATCTGTTTTAGTTTCACTTGACATCTTCCCGTTGACTAGTAAAAAGTTCTTTTTTTCGTAACATATCGCATCAATCGTATACCGAACATGTCGTCCAAACAAAAAGTGTGCATTTTAGGATCCGGAAATTGGTATGTACCAATGTCTCTTTAATGATTATTTACATTGAATAAATCGTAACATTTTCCATGTATAAACCGAAAATTTTTTTTAAGTTTATCCATGTTAACGAGTTATGAAAAATTGTTTGGAGAATATTCTGTCACATCACTCATAGATATTCACATTTTACATTTTTACAATTTCGTCTTATTGTATTTAAAACATAGGTTATATAATGTATAGTTTTTTTTAAATTTTATGCTTTGATTTAACCGATTATTTTTATGTAAAAATCTTTTTTAAAGTTTTTATTAAATAATGTTCAACTTACACAATAATGTGTACACATCATCGAAACCTTCTTAGAAGGTCATCATAAATTCTTGAAAATGATTGTTTGATAGTAATTGTACTAATACATTCAGAATAAATGTATGGAATTAAATAATCTTATTTTTAATGAGCAATTGAGAATTTCAATTGCTAACGGATTTAATTTTTTCACATTATAATTTTTTTCAAGAAAATTGTTAAAATATTCTTCTTATGGAAAGGTTTTGGAAAATAATATTTGTCTTTACTAAGTTAAATTATTTATTCATCCCTACTTAATATTATTTTAAGTATTTTAAATAAATTTCCCCTCGCAAATACACATTTATCACAAGTACTTATGAAATTGATTACCTAATATAAATTTGAGATAAAATTACTTTAACAAGTACCTACCTATTTTAAATGAATCTAAACAAATACAATTATGGTACTATTATCATGTGTTAATATTCATTTTTTCTTTTTTTTTTATTAGATCTTCTCAGTATTGATTTGAGTTAAACAACAATTTTCGAAAAAAAAAATGTGCACTGTTCTGTTGTATTTTAGTAGATGTCAAGTATACTTCTTCATTGATTAGGTTGCTATAATGAATTTGTTAAATTTAAATTCAATGATCTTGTTTTTCCTGATTATTTTGAAAAGTACCGGGACATTTTCACCAGAATCTCCCAAAAAAACCATTGTAACACCAATACATTGAACATTATGCTCAGAATATAAAATCTTACATCATTAATTATATTTATCTTATATTGTCCTGAAATAGATTAAATTGTTTTTTGGTTTATATGTTTTATTTAAATATAATATACTAGAAGTACATAGTATTTTAGAGTTTAAGTTAAAATATAAAATATAACTTAATAGCGTGTAATAATTTGTCATTTATATGATGTACAGGGGTTCAGCAATAGCAAAAATAATTGGTTCAAATGCAGCCCGTTTGGATTCTTTTGATTCCTGTGTTAAAATGTGGGTTTATGAAGAAATAATTGAAGGAAAAAAATTGACTGAAATAATTAACACCACCCATGAGAATGTGAAGTATTTACCTGGAAAAAAACTCCCTGAGAATGTGGTAAGTTTTTGTTGAATAAATAATTATTATTTTATTGTTCATAAACGATCACTGGATGGTTTCTTCTCTCACCCTATACATGTGAAAATACTTGTAGCACGTATTCTTATTATGCCTAGAGCATAGATTGTATATTTCGATTAAAAAATAATAAAAATAAAAAAATTTTATTGTAAAATAACACTAGTTCAAACAATTAAACAATTTGCTCTCAAAAATAACAATAGGATGTAGGTACTCAATAAAAATATTATATATTATATTATAGCAGTAGTTAATCATTAATAGAATAGGATATTGAGCAAATATTGTTTTGGGATTATGCAGATAATAAAACAATATTTAATTGATTAACTTGCACTTTTAAATAAACTTAAATTAAAAATATGTTTTGATACAATTATATTCCTACATGTAATATCTATTTTTACAAAGATAAATACCTATGTAATGTATAGGTAATACCGTAATATTTGTTTTAATTAAACAAATAGGTGATTAAATTTACGCAAATAGTGTTGAATTAATTACTATACAATATTTTTATCATTAGGTATGTTAATATATGACAATGACATGGATTAAGGGCATTCAGTTAACTTCAATGTCATTTAATTTTTAACTCTCATATTTATTTGACTTACTGCCAATGCCTTGGCAATATAAAATTTACTATTTATCATGTAGTGTAATGTATTTATTGTAAAAAATAAATTATATTTAGCTTCTAAAATTAATAATATGTTTGTACCTTCTAAATATTTCAATTCAAAACATTTAAGTTTGATCATTTTATTTTTTAATTTGATATAAAATTATAATTGACTAAATGCCATCCATATTATTAAATTGAAACTTTATCTGAAGTGTGACATTATTTTTTTTTGTCATTAGTACCATAGCCAGATGGGGGAGGGAATAAAGAACAAAAACCCCCCCCCCCAAAAAAAAACATACATACTATACACGGTAGCACGCTGGCCCTAGCAATTCCCTACCAAAAATAAATCCTGTCTATGGTACTGGTTGTCATTAAGACTAAAATTATATTTCTATATAACATAATGTACAATATGTTTAGTTGGTATATATTATAGAAACTTGTTTAATTAAACATTCAACCAACCTCATTATATGTAGTAGTTACTAATAAATAGTATTTGACTCGTTGAGAACATTATTTATTTCAAATTTAATGAGGCCATTGTATATCTCTACAAATAATACTTTCCTTTTTTTTACATTTTTAATATTTAATTATTTAAAAACAATTTTAGGTTGCTGTACCCGATGCTGCTGAAGCAGCCAAAGATGCTGATATTTTAGTGTTTGTTGTTCCTCATCAATTCATACCAAAATTGTGTTCTAGCCTTGAAGGGTTCATAAAACCTACTGCTACAGCACTTTCTTTAATTAAAGTATTTACTGATAATACGTAAAACTTGTTATTCATAATTTTTAATTTTTTTTGTTTATTTTAAAGGGATTTGATGTAGCAGAAGGTGGTGGAATAGCTCTGATTTCACAAATTATCCAAAAACATTTAAAAATTGAAGTCTCTGTACTAATGGGTGCTAATTTGGCCAATGAAATTGCTGATGAAAAATTTAGTGAAACCACTATTGGTAAATTGCTTTCATATAAATTGCTTGATTTATATTAACAAATATTTTTATATAGGATGTAAAGATAAAAAAATTGGACAAATTCTTAAAGATGTAATCCAGACTGACTATTTCCGTGTTTCTGTTGTCGATGATGTTGAAGCTGTTGAAGCTTGTGGTGCCCTAAAAGTATTAAACCTTAGTTCATTGAATGAATAATTTTTATTTTAATGTTTATATTTATGTTTTTTATTTGTGCACTTAGAATATTGTGGCTGTCGGAGCTGGTTTTATTGATGGTTTGAAATTAGGAGACAACACTAAAGCAGCCATAATACGTATAGGTCTTATGGAAATGATTAAATTTGTTGATACATTTTACACTAATGCTCGACTTAGTACATTCTTAGAATCATGCGGAGTTGCTGATTTAATCACTACATGCTATGGTGGTCGTAATAGAAAAGTATCTGAAGCTTATGTGACATCAGGAAAGGTAAATAAAACTTTCATAATTAATTTTCTATCACAATTTAAACTAGCTTAAGAAAAATATTGTCAAATTTGTATTTTATTTAGAAGATATTTTGAACTAAAAACTAATTTTTTCCTGTTACCAAACTGTTCTAGTAAAAATTTTTTACAAAATCTAGTTATTTAAAAAACAGTTTTTAGATTAGAATTTTAATTTTTTTCAAAAATTCACACTTATCATGTTACTTTGCCTTATACAGTTATTTCTATGATAGTCTCATTTATCCGGTCATCTGTAGTCTGGACAATTTTTATTTTGTACTTTGTTACATACTTATGTATATATTTACTATGTATTTGTTTGTTAACTACTATAAAACGTATTAGATTAGTTATTTATAGCATAACTGTACCTATACAAAATTGAAATTATCTAATGAAGTTTACACTATCACATAGCCTATTTTTAGTGAAGTACCCATGAAAAAAATGTCATTCCGTTTAATCCGGATAGGGTCCAGTCCCATCACGACCAGATCAATGGGACTCTACTGTATATTATTTTATCATAATGGCTGTTCATCATATATTCAATAACATAACTATTAAATGTTTTTATTGACTAACTGTTATTGTTAATGATAGTGGTTATTTTGTTTACAACAAAATAATTTAAATGGTTTTAAATAGGAGTTTGAAGTTCATAAGAAAATAAATAATAATTAATTGGTTATCCATTACCTCATACTGAATCAATGTAATACAAAAATGTCAATATATATTAACTATATATAATCTTAGTTCATATTATCTGTGTGTAAATTGCAAATGTTTTTCTAATAATATTAATGAACTATTTATGAATTTCTAATAAAATGTATTAAATATTGTAAGTATCAGGACAAAATGAATACGACAATAATATTATTGAATTAAATCACTGATAACATATAAATATTCAATCACACTTAAAATATATATAATTGATTTTCTTTATATATTATTGCTTATTAGACAATTGAAGAACTAGAAAAAGAATTGTTAAATGGACAAAAACTTCAAGGACCAATCACAGCAGCTGAAGTAAACTTTATGCTCAAAAATAAAAATAAGGAAAATGAGTAAGTTTAAACATAATATTTTTAAAGAAAAAATTTATACCCTAAAAATTTTGAATTTATTTCAGTTTCCCGTTGTTCACAACTGTCCATAAAATTTGTATTGGAGAATTAAAGCCTAGTGATTTAATTGAACAAATGAAATTAAATACCAGCATGTAAGTTATATTTATATATATATTGTAGTCACCAAACGATTAACATTTATAAATTATAGTGGTGTATGTAGGTTTTTTAAAAAAAAGTCTTATTTTATTTAAAAATTATAAAATGTATCATTCTGTAATTTTAATGATAAAAATGTGTGTTTCAACATGGCGCACGAGTAATCAATGCCTATAAATACACCACTAGTAAAATATATGTGTGTTATTTAATAGTTATGAATATAATCATAAGTTTGATTTGTTTGTAAAATTTTACTAGTAAATAATATTGTGTTTATTCAGCTTAATATATTTAATTTCATTAACAATAGTAAAAGTTATTTTTGTTGTAACTCTTATTTAACTGTTTATTTAATAATTTAATATTTTAATTTAATTACTTAATATTATTATATTAAATTGTGGGGTTTTAGCTATTTATTTTTCAATTGTAATCATAGATTTGTGTGCATTTGTAAAATTTTAGTAATCTAGTAATCAAGTAATTAATTTTTTTATTTTTACTGCCTATATATGTATACGTGTTATGATATATATTTATTTATTGGTATGCATTAATTATTAGTAATTTTTGTTATTTTTTTTGCATAATTATTTTTCACCTTAACTGTTATGTTGTGTTTTCTTAAGTAATTTATTACTATGTAGAAGAAAATTTCTATGTGCTAGAAATTCTTGTTTTTAAACATTAGTTATGTTTCATGCAAGCCATTCACTAGTTTAAAATAATAGAAGTATTTATATAATATTTACAGGTCTGACAAATTAAATCTGGACAAATGTAACCTGTAGGAATAACACTTGTTTTTTAAATTCAAATACAAATCTAAGTTTTGTTTAATACATTTGTATTGTTTTATTTTATTTTTAGAAAAACTGAACAAGCTGGTGGAGAATAAATGAGATAGTTGTATTCCGACATTGTTAGGTTGTCATTCGGTATGACTTTATTTCTGCAAGAGTTAGATATTATGTTAACACAATTAATTCTCACAATGCACATCTATGTCAGCCTGTCTCACATCTTTCTTGTTAATGTTATATAATGTAGAATTATTTATTTGTGTCACATGTATCATTTTTAAATGTTAATGGCTTTTTTTTTGCACTACCTCAAACAAAAATGCACCAATTTTAAATGTTACCAAATTGTATTGTATTAAGGCAATCAAAATATAGATATATACATAGGATTTATTGGTTAAAATAAATAAATACATATTAAAGTAACGAAACAATTATCAACCCAGAGGTCACAATTATGACTAGTAACAATATTTCTTTAAAACTGCTTGGATCATCTGCATAGCGATTTTTGGTGGTTAATCTTCGATTTTTTATTTCCAATAATGGTATAATAATATTCAATATATCTGGTATCATCAAGAAGAGATCTCTTATCACCTAAAAACAAAACTTTTTTTAAGTAACTTTTAATATTAAGAGCATAAACACCCAATACAACAACATTTCTTATATTTACTATAGGTATCTGACTTATACATGATTAAAATCAATATAACTGTTAATATATAAAGATTCATTTTTACTATAGATTTCTTTCAGTTTAAATGCATCTGTAGATTAAAAAAGTTAAAATATACAAAACTAGAAATATACCAATAAATGGAATAAACAGTAAAAAATATAAAAAGAAGGTTGGTTTTGCTTATGGAGCATTTGTTTTCTTAGCTACGGCTTGTTTCCTAAGTTTTTGAAGAAAAAAAATTCAGTTTGATAATATTGACTACCCAATTCACACTGTATGGGTGTATAATGTATTAACTTATATGTAGGAGACATGGTATTTTCTCAATATGAACTTGTATTATTTTAATATATGATTAATTGATTGGATTAATTACAGTTAAGCAGTATTGTTTTCATTTTCAATTGGGTGAGGTCATTTACTCAATACCAATAATAAGTACCTCGTTAAAGTAGATAAATTAACTTTGTACCACAGATTAGATTAAAATATACAATATATAATTATTTTTTATATACTATATACCAAATCTAGGCTAACACCACTTTTTGTTTGTAAAAACATCTTACTTGATGTGCAAATCCACTTCCTCCAATTACATTAATAACAAACTGATCAAAGCCAGCAGCTAACATATGTGTTAAGCCCACTGAAATGATAGAAAACAAATGGAATTTCTTTATCTCTTTCCTGCGATCGCATATTGTGTACAGGATACTAGTAGAGTACAGTTCAGTAACAGTGAAGAATATCTGATGATTCCATTGCGAATAGAAATCATCGTTCCAATAGTTGACAAATGACCACCTGGAAAACATTGTATTGGCAATGCTTAGCAGCTAGTAAACAGAAGGCTAACAATGTATAACTAACCATGAGTAATAGTGAGAGAACATCGATAGAACAAACAACAACATCATGTTATAGCGTATTTGCTTGTCGAGGCACAGCCTGACTATGTTTTTCACACTTTCGTACAACACAATTGTGCAGACTGCCGTAATCGCCCAAATATTAAACATGTTTTCTGTAGCATTAAAGTACATGTGCTTATATCTAGCAACACCTGCTTCGTAAGGCCCTAAAACAAAAAATTCCTTTCTTTGAAGACAAGTACTATTTGGTTTAAAACCGCACATACAAAATGTGCGTAGAGCTACGCGTACCTTTGAACACTGTGTCCCAACAGGAACACGTACAGTGTTCCTTGTTGAAGTTCACATTGAAGTCGCTCCAGAATTTTTCCAAAATCAGAATGTGTATTGCTGGTAAGAAAACTGGTACGAGGAGTGCTATGCATCGTGATCTTTTCGATGCAACATTTGTCGGAGTGGTCAACATAATTGTTGCTAAAAAAAAAGACGACAGCTACTACCTACCAAAGATCGTTACATACTATTTAATGTAAACAGCGACTTTCGTCTTAAGTGTTCGAGTGTTGAATTTCCGTGTAACATTTACACTTAAAACATCTACAATCGCAGGAGATGTACCTACACAATACACGCAACACTCAGCTTTAGTCATTACGCATATTATCGAATTTTGGAATCTATATAAAATTCCATTATATTTTTGTTTACACTTTTATAAATCTGTTTGATAACCGTTATCACACTTCGTAACAACGGTAACCAGGCGGGTTCAATAAATAATATTACTCATGGTTCATATGTAGGTCGTTTCCGGAGTTTTGGGGGGAGGGGGCTAAGCTATTCTGTGCTATGATCTTCAGAACATTTTCGACATTATGTTCCTTTTTTGTAATTTTGTTCTTAACAATAGACAATTTTTTAGAAATACAGGCTTAGGAGGGGCCGGAGCACTTAATCCTTCCTCTGGAGCCACCACTGATTCATATTATATAAGCTGACAGTAAATAAAACTAAAAATGGGTGACTTATGTCTAATGAATTAGCCATAAGGGGAGTTTTAAACTTTTGGCAAATCGGTAACAATAGACAACTACTAACAAAATAAAAATGAAAGTATAAGGTCAAGTTTAGTGTTCACATTGTTCTCTTAATGCGTATTAATATATTTTTAATTAATGTGAAAGGAAAAAATAGTTTTTTGAGGCCTCTCCATGTTATCCTAAAAAGTGTGCAACTTGGGGCATGTATTAAATACACCGTGAAATCTCAGTCTAAGCCTGTTAAACGTCATATGGGAAATAAATGAGTAAAAAAACACTTCTCTGCAGGATTAAAGGAAGGGGCGGTGATATGGCATCCCACCATTTTTTATGATTCTCATTTTCCATCCCTTCACTTATTTTGGCCTATTTTGAGCCTTTTCGACCATAGTTTCTCCGCGAGATATTACTATATAACTGCACTTTCAAATTAATAGTTACACTTTTTGTTAGTAACATTTAGCTGCTTTTAGTAATACCTGCACATATAGAAAAGTACTTAGACAATTTAAAAAATACATAAACTACATCTAAATTTTAATCATTATTTTTAATACATATAGAATGGTTATGAGATCCATAGCCATAATAATAATCTTGTGCATTGAATTGCTTATCATTCAACTAAAACAAGTATTCATACGCTTCTACATAAATTAATTTAGTGGTTTGAACTCTGAAGGTTATACTAATCATCTCATACATTATCTGAAATAATGAAATATACCAATATAAAGATTATTCTATAATATTCCCATAATTCGTAAAAACCTACATATATATATTAATTGGATACAGACTTTCAAAGAACATAAGATTAGAAACTATATAATATTATATAATATTATACACTATACAGAGTGTAACAGGAAGACCTGACACAAATAAAATAACTTTTTTCTAATCTATAATTTTTGATTTTTTTCTTATACATTATTTATTGACTTGTATAACACAGTTAATGTAACATTTTTATTTTTAATACTGAAAATAAAATAATTAAAATCTGATTAAAATTTTTTTTTTATATTCAATATGGCCAAATTTGTAAATATGGATTTTAGAAACTTTTGATTGTAAAAGCATTTATCTAAGTCAAGTGGTTTATTTTTATGACTATAAAATATCAAATTTTTTTGTAGTAACTCATTGATTTGAAAAGCAATGACTTTTTAAAAGAATATTTACAACAAGCAAACTACAATTTTCAACAAGTACCTATAACCTATTTCAAAAGGCTTATAAATAATTTTAAAAAGCTAAATCTTTTTGAATAAAATTTTTTTATGACTGGATCAAATTTACTTAATCAAACTTTAAATAATGAGATTTCAAAAAATTGTAAATCATGAGCTATATGAATCAAATAAATGTTTTTACAGAAGTTGTCTAAAATCCAAGTTAAAAAAATTGGTCATTATGAATTTTGTCGAATACGTCATTGTAATATGTAGATGTATTAGATTTGAATTCAACGATAAATCATTGCTAATGAAAAACAATTCTGTTTGGAGAAGGTGTGTCATCCTAGCACACATGTATAAATAATAAAATTTAATAACTAAAATCACTGAATATTAAATATAGTAAAAAATTTAAAACCAAACACCCATAAAAAATCATTGATGTCAGCGAGTGATTTTTTTTTTGATTTGAGTGGAAAAACTTATTTTGAATCTTCTATTAAAATTTCTAATGTTTGCTATGAAAATAAAATTTTTTATTAATTTCTAACTGAAAAATAATTTGCAACTTTACAACTACGTTCTATGCGACTGAATTTTGGGGAAAAAAGAGAACAAGCAGATTTAGAAATGTATTTTATAGATTGGTATTTAGAAAATGTTGTTTTAAAAGAGGCAAAATACATACACACTTTAAATCCACATATGTTTTACAAGAGACATCTTTCGACTTTTGGAATAAATCAAAATAAAATAGATACATAACTAATTAGGTAATAATATTAAATATGAATAAATGGTTGTAATAACTAATATTGTATATTTTCAATTACAATTATTGCAGTAGTCAATTGAATTCAGAATAAATCATATTTAATATATATATAAATGTAATTTAATAGTTATACAGATAAAATAAATAAATATATACTTGTGTACGAAGTGCAACAATTATTTAGATTGAAGTATATTTTTAAATTAATACATAAAAATATTCAATACTAACGTGCAATAAAATAAATAAAAGTAAAGAAATATTCAACAGGGCTATTAAACTAATTTATAATGATTCGATACCGGCATACCACTATATTATCCCTCTTTAATTATAAATTAGTTTAAATTATAGGTTTATACATTAAATATTATAATTAGTCATCATACATAATTATTAAAGAACGCATATTGAAATAAAATAATATAAACAAGTTTTAAAACTATTACCTTATCTTGATTAAATAGTAAATAAATTTATAATTCAAATTCAATTTTAATTTTAAATATTTAAACTTAAACTTATTTTGTTTATAGCTCTTCAATAAAATATTAAAATATTATTATATTATTATATACCTATGGTGGTAATAATATTTATATCATATTAAAAGCTATTAAGTGTATAAAAGTAAAATGTAAATATATGCTTTATTTACAGCCTTCAACATAATTTCCTGGGAATAAGCCTGTAATGCCGTCCATTACACCTTCCCACCAACCATCATCATTTTTCTTTAAGACATAAATAACTGAATTTTCTTGAAAACTTAATTCGTCGTCTTTATCAGCATAATAATCATAAATTGCAATTACTAAAATATAAATTGTTTATTATAATTTTATATTTATATTTTATGTATCTAAGAAATGTTAAACTTACCCTTCTCCAAATAATTCTTAGGAACCCATCCAGGAAGATCAGGTTCTTGGGGTACAATTGGGCCAGCAGCAATATGTCCAAAATGATCTTCTGGAGGTGGTGGTAATGGCGGAGAAGCTGATGCTTGTCTGGTATGTTGCGGTGGAGGGGAAGTGACTACTGCAGATGAAGAATGATATTGTGATGAGTTTTTTAAGATACCAGGTAACTGTGAAGTATTTGCCCGATAGTGGTCAGTAGTTGTTAGCTGAGGAATGTTAGAACGATAATGATCAGTAGATGGCTGTTGAGGGATGTTTGAACGATAATGATCGGTGGATGATTGTTGGGATAAATTTGAACGATAATGATCAGTAGATGATATTTGTGATGTATTAGAGCGATAATGATCTGTAGAAGATTGTTGAGATATGTTTGAGCGATAATGGTCTGTAGATGACTGTTGAGAAGTATTTGAACGGTAATGGTCAGTGTTTGATGAAAAAGGAGCCTGATGGAGATGATGATCCAACAAATCTGGTCCAACTCCCATTCTTGAGTTTAATGTATGAGGAGACGGTGGAGCTGAAACACAATAAGAATTAATAATTATAGATTGAATGAAATAATACAAATTTAAATTCACATACGAGGCATGGAGTTCAAAGATGATGGTTGTTCCGACTGCTGCATAGGATGCACCATGCCAATGATTGGAGATTGTTGTATGCTACTAGATGAGGATGTGTGATGTAAAGGAAGAGTATTATAACCAGGTCCTTTTTCACGTCTGACATGGCCTAGTGGATAATTAGGAGCATAATGACTGGGAACTTGTGGTGGAGCAACAGCAGGAGGAGTACGATATTCACGAGACCCTTTACTCAATGATCCAGTTGCTCGTATGACTGCTGGAGGAGTAGGTGGTTTGATTGTAGGAGCAGGACCAACAGATGACATATTAGTTGAAGCACTGGAACTGTTTGAAATTGGTTGACGGACCATACGGGGAGTATTACGAACACCATGGCCAATATCATCAAGTGCTGTAAAATACAATTTATACAATAACATACAATTTAAAAAAATACTTGATATAATGGTTTCTAAATCTAAATTAATTATGTGGATTATATATTATTATATTCTCAAAACAGAAAGAAGTAGGTACCTGTAAAATCAATTGGTTTCCTAACATATTTAATAGGCTTTTCTGGATTAGCAGGGGCAATGATTTTATATTGACGGTTGGTTGTTTTATTTGCTGTCAATACACCAATTTCTCGTCTCGCAACTTTTTCTTTATGAATCATTACATTCTAGATAAATAAAAAAATATTAATAAAATGTTTGTGATTACTAACTATCTTAAGTATTAATAGTACTTATTACTCAACTCAAACACTGGTATCATGCATGTATATACGATATACCTCAGTGTAGGTTTTACAAGGGAGGGTCACCCTATAAGACTAGGTAAATGTGTTAATATGTAGTAACTTTAATAGTGATCATCACAGCTCGTGAATTCATAAAATTGCATATCAATCTTGCTATGATACATTTAATGCTAGATGACATCAAAATCCATTTCAAGGTATCATGGTTAAGTGTGTGAGGTTTTATTTTGCATACTTTTGCCTATTTGCATTATTTATTTTTCAATTTTGTTGGGCATATTATTCGTAATTTTGATATTCCTATTGATATTATTGTTTTAATGTACATTTGTTTCATTAAAATACTATGAAAACAGATAAAAGATACAATTATTTATTTGTTTTCAGCGTATAAAATGTATGGAAATTGTCACAATGTAAAATGAATAAAAATAAAATTGTTATATTATGAATAAATATTTCTTGCTATTTGAAAAAGCATTAATGATTTCTTTTTTTTATAATCCGTACATTTTTAGTGCATATAAAGACATTTTTCTGAACTTTAAGGCACATATTTTCAATACTTAAATTGTCAGTGCATCAGTGCATGTTTCTTTAGACATTTTTAGGCCCTGGATATCATAGTAATCAAAATATTAAACATTTATTATGTATACAAATTATTTCTTATAGGTTTAAGGTATATAGCACATAAAATTACTTCTCATGTACCTATCAATGGTTAAAAAAGTGAAACGTATAAAAATGTAAGTACATGCAAAATATTTTCATCCCCCACTCCTCCTTAGGATTGTGTTGTATCAGTAAAAATATATACCTATATACTATATAGTATATACTATTGTTTAAGTTGATCAACACTATGCATTACGAAAAAGATGTAGATGTCATACAATTATTATGAAATGTTCCCAATTTTTAACACAGATTTCTAATAAGTACATATTATGGTAGGTAATAATTTAGTATTTAAGTGTAGGTATGTAAAAAAGATTACTTGAGCAATGTGGTTGATTTGACTATCCATTTCAGATAGTTGAACTGTTTGAAGATCCAATAATTGCAAAAAGTTATAAGCAAGCGTATTTATTTGATATGCAACACTAGCTAATGACTGGGTAGTATAGTTTTTTGTTTCTTCTAAAGCCAATCGTTTATTTTCAGCTTGAAAATAGTTTCCTTCACAATATTCAGCAACACGCTCTAAATTTACATGACTGTCAGTCAAACTGTTACGACCCTCGGGTATATCAGCTTGTAAAAGCTGCGCCAATTCAGCCATGTTATCAGAATCACTTCCTAAGCCAGATTCTCGACTTGGATCCGAAGTTCCTGGAAATATACATTTTTTAAATTATTATTATCTTAACTTATCCAACAAAATATAAAATTATAAATGTTATAAATTAACCTTCCCAAAAAAAGTTTAAAAAAATCAAGGAAGTACAAAATTAACTACAATCATAAAACCAAATATTATCTCAACGGTGAAGAAACTGAAATAAGCTTACTATTTTTGTCTGAAAAACACCCAAAACTATAACAATTAATAGTTATGTATTACTTATTAACTATTAAGTATAATTTATTTTACTATTGCAGTCTTCAGATTGGTACTGACTTTTAGTGCCACAATCAAAATATGTAAAATATATGTACAACTAGACTCTATTCAAGCTAAGAAATGTAGTCGGCGGCTGACTTGTGAGCGGGAGTGTGGAAATACTACACAGCAGGTATACAGATAATTGACTGGGTGAGGTAACAAACTATTGTTGCCAGACTGCGACTCAACAAAGACTGATCGCCGCCGTCTATGTTTCTCAACTTGAACAGATTATAGATTGATAATGCTCCAGTAAAGTGACCCATTACTTTCATGATCAGTCACAACTCACAACAAAAACAGAAAATATATTATGTCAGCAGTCAACTCTTTTTAATGAATTAGAGTAGTTTTGAGACGATAAGAATACTATTTTATTTTAATTAAAAATGTGTGTATAGTGCATATATTATTCCAAATATAGTTTGAGTTCATGTCACAATCTGGTAATGATTTATACCAGTGTGCCTACATGACAGTTTTAATAATTATTTTATAAGTCATGTCTTCATCCCAAACTATTGGTTACAACTTATGAGTTTATGACTAACAGACATGAATAACAATTTATATAGTCTTATGTTAGTAGCTGTTCATAGTTCATCGTTTTCTAAATTCTGAAACTGAGACTTTTATAAATTAAAAAACTATTAAGTTATAAAACCATATAGGTATACTTTTACAAAATCAACTAATGAACCAATAATTATAACTTGCATAAATAAAATTAGAAACAAAAAATTATCTACGAACAAATATTGGAATTGATTTCTAAGAAAATCATAAAATAATTCTTGCAAGGTTTGGGGTTACTGTGTTTTCAAAAACATCCAGTTCAAATACTCGTATTTTTAATTACGGTCTCAAACCTTGATTGGTTGATCAATAACACTGATAGGTAGTGCCTAAATATTAGTATAATTGTTCGCCACGATCAGTAATTTTCCCAAGCACAGTTGTAATTACATTATAAAATACATTAATACATGAAAACTTGTTCAACCTGTATTCGTAAACGTCGTCCACATGGCCATATTTCAATGGCATTAACTTGCTAAAATAGATCGAGAACGAATAATCTAGAACTGATAAATAAGTTTTATTAAATTTAATCAATTTCACATTAAAATATTATATATAATTGATAAATTTATATACTCGCACAAAGCCACAAATTGATTAAAGAACGTAGATGCCAGACGACAATGAATTATGAACTCCCTAATAAGTAATAGTATGTACGTACAATTCATACAATGTTGACAAATGCCAGGAGGGGCTTTGCCTATCATTCACACGGTAATACGGTACATATGATAACCATAACTTATCTTCAATAGCCCTAATATGTATTAGATGGTATTAGGATGAATGTTCTCAGAGTTGCCAACCCATGTTGGTAGTCTCTTACTACTCTGAACTCTATAATTATTAATTATAAATTATAATAATTATGGATCTATAAAAATAGATCACAGATATAGAAAAGGACTAATAATAAGATCTGAATCCATGGATTTAGGTAATATATTATATCCTATAAATTATAATAATAATATAATATATAATTTATGTATGATATATCTGTGCCTATAAACCATGGACTAAGAAATATTACATTTTAAGCCTTTAAGATTTGTGAAGTTATTTTATGGAAATATCTAAATCCAAAAATGTAGGTAACTTGTTTTAAATTTTTAATTTGTCGGACAATTATTTAACATTCTGATTTCTGAGTGGAGCGATGATTGTATTTTACAACTATGTACTTGCATGTTTTTTCCATCTGTCGTTAACTTTTGGCAGTGTCCAGTGTTGGGTAGTAAGAACTAAGATGTAGCGAAAGCAAATTATAAATTACTGAAAGTTGTAATTAAATTACTTTTTAAAAAAGCGTTATTTTCCACGTTATTAAAATAAATTACGAATGTATAATTATGAATTTATGACAAAATCTAGAGGCTAGGGACGCTAAGGTATACCACTAGAAAAATTAAAAATCAATTAAATTTGTGTACCTATATGATTCCGAAGTTTAAGATAATAATCGACAACGTTATTAAAGATTGAAGGAATGATATTAGCGAAGAATAAAAGATTTCAGAGTTTCAGACAAAAAAAAAAATTAAGAATGACTTGCGTATGAGTAAACCATAATCTAAAATAATAACTGATATTATTATTTGACCTTATAAGTTATAATTACTATATACTTACTATATATTTAATTCATTGTAATACTGTTCAACTGTTATATAGCATTGCAAGTATACCTCGCCAATTACCACCAAATGTGATACCAAATTTAATACTTACAGGTACACTCAAGCTCAACATTGTATTTAATTATTTAAATATAATTTTGGACACGTGTATCTTCCACGAACAATATCTTGGTTTCGTGTATAACAATTTCGGTAACTTTCTAAGATAGTTAAAAATTATTATTGCACATGATTCGTAAATCTTAATCTTATCTTACACTAACCTTATAAATTAAGGGATGTCAAAATGTCATGCAAATATTATGCAATACATTTCATGCACCATGGTATCCTCTTTTTAGTTTAAAAAACATCTTAAAAATGTGTTATAAATTATAATGTTAATACAATTTTTTATTGGTAGTCAGTTTCTATGAATAAATATATTTATTTTTTTGGATTTCAATAAACATTTTATTAATAGTCATTACATTATGTTACATATTACATTGTAACGAATACATTTAAATTTGTAAGCCCCTAATTTAATTTTTTGAACTACGTATTTTTTAAATATAATAACATATCGAAATTTACCAACTGCGACTTTTATTTAATGGAACCATCCATCACCTCTTCTTTGTTTTTAATAGTTTTAAATAGTACAACTGTACAAGCACAACTCATATTATAGCGGCATAGGTATGCTGCAGAAACTTCAACCTTTTCGTCAGCAATGTTCATTTTGAAATGATTCAAAATTAGAAAAATCGTATTGTTGGGTATAACTAGAGAGCCTTATTAAGGCTCTCTAGGTATAACTATACCAGTCGTGTGGGAGATATAACCAACGATCATTCCGATATTTGCCAAGTACTACCATAGAGTATATTACATTTTTTAATCTTTTCTTTGGTACTACTACAGAAGGTAGCATAGTCTATAGTCTTGAACATTGGTTAAGAACACCAGTATTGTGTGTGAGTCGTGAGATATGACCTGCTACTTGCCGCCTGCCAAGTACTACTATTCATCAACATTGTACGCCAGTCGTGCACCAGTCATGTGGGACAGGCTTTAAAATACTATTTTAAAATGATTTTTAAAATTTCATTAAATAGGTACCTACGCAGATGACACAATAGGTACCTAACATTCATATATATACCTTACTGAAGTTAAACTTGGCAATATAATACTTTCGTGTATGTGATATTTGAAATTCTTAAACAATAAAATAATGTATTAGGTAATTATTGAATTTATGATGAACTTATCAACTTATTGAACTATCATTTTAATAAACTATTTTGAATACTTCAAAAATGTATTTGTATTTATATTCAAATACTTTTGATTTTTGAAAGACAGTAGGTACGCACTGGGATGTTTCTACTTCATTTACATTTTACATGGTTAATTATTTACCAGGGTGCGGAATAACGTGGCATAATTTTTAACCGATTTATTTATTTATATTTTATTTATTTTAGGCCTGACGAAATTCTAGACTATCTTCAATGTTCAGCCCATAGAGCATAATATACTCTATGATCTAAGCTTCAGACCAACAACTAACAAGAAAAACATTTCTTATCAGTTATCACATAATATGGTGATAAATATATTTTACCGACAACTATCAGTATCTAAATTCTAAAGCAATGGTCAAAATAAATAATATTCAAATACTCAATATAGGTAGAATAATATAACTATTAAAAAAAAAAATATATATAACTTAAAACAGTCAAGCATAGCGAACAACCCGCGACTCAATGCTCATAGATTTATTTATTTATTAATTTCACAGTGCTCATAAACGTTCTTCATACATATTATTTAAACTTTTTGTTCCTTTAATTTTATGAACAAACACTAATAGTTTAATGTTATGAAACACATCATTGTTTATTTGTTTAATTGTTTTGCATTAACACTCTGTACCTTGAACTCCGAATTACAATATAGTGCTTTGTTATTAAATATTCACTGTTAACTTAAATTATTGTTTTTTTTTTTACTTTATGTTGTTGCTATCTACGTTTAAGTAGATATTATTAACTAATGTTACTCCACAGAAAACATCTTACATACTATTTCTTGGCGAGTTTTTCATTCATACTAGGATGCACATTGACAATGTTCATTTTGCACACAATAACATTTAAGCAAAACACTCCACCAAATGGACTTAGACTTAGGTTGCTTGTGCTCATAATATCAGCAGTGAAAAATCAAAATCGTCGAGATGCCATACGGGAAACATGGGCTCAACCAAAAGAAGACGTTAAGATACTTTTTGTTGTATCAAAAGACAAATCTTTAAATGAAGAGAAGCTGATACACAATGACATGTTAGAGGTAGATGAAGAAGAGGGGTACAGATTACTCACTCGTAAAGTAGTAGCATCGTTCTCCAGCGTGTGTGATATTAACTTTGACTATTTGTTAAAATGTGATGACGACTCTTATGTCAATGTGCCATTAATTGTCAATGAGCTGGAACATATGCCCAAAAAACGGTTCTATTGGGGTTATTTTTATGGTAATGCACACATTAAAAAAAGAGGTAAATTTAAAGAAACTGAATGGATATTATGTGATAGATATTTGCCGTATGCCTTGGGAGGTGGCTATGTTTTGTCCAAAGATCTTATCATCTATATAGTAAAGAATCGAGATTACCTAAGGTGGGTTGATCATAGTTAGTATAATTGTACAATAAAGTATATACTGAAATAAGACAATATTTATATTAAGTTTGATAAAATCATTAGGTAATATCTAACCAACTATAACTGTCTTATTAGAAACTTTGATTAACAATTCTTGTTGCTTATTTTTATTTTTCAGTATGTTTGTTAGTGAAGATGTTTCTGTTGGAGCTTGGTTAAGTCCATTAAATATAACACGAAAACATGACCGGCGATTTGACACAGAATGGTATAGTCGTGGATGTCGAAATGATTATTTAGTAACACATAAACGTAGTCCTGAAATGATGAGACTGCACTGGTCACACAATATTCAGACTGGTAAAATGTGTGATAAGGAGTTTAAACATATGGCTTCCTACGAGTACGACTGGTCGGTTATGCCATCTAAATGTTGTACGAGAAACATGTCTTTACTCCCATAATTTAATTTTCTAACTTCAAGAAGACTGCTGTAATTATTAATTTAAAATAAGAATCTTGTTTTCGCTTTTTAACAAGAAAAAAAATACTTATAAATTAGCAATACAGATTTAAAATAGAACATTTTATTCTCGAATTTGTATGCAATCTCAATGACAATTATAATACAGATTACAAATATCAAAAATCAAATGTTCTTATCACCGTAAGAAAATTATAAACTGTTCATAAACACATATAATATGTATTTATTTACAAAATAAAAAAACTTATTTTATTTTAAGAATATGTTATTTTTTCTTCCTGTCTGTAATACATTTTGGGCAGAACCATTTTCCTTTGGGCTTGGTAATTAATTTGACACACGCAAAGTGGAACCATTCAATAGGACACTGAAACAATAAAAGCACACAATTGAAATGTTAAGCTACACAAATATAAAAAAAACAATATTTACAATAAAAATAGAACGTTATTGATTTTTATATAAAATAAAAGTAAAAAAATATTAAAATGCTTACATCGGGGTTATCACAGCCTATCATTTCACCATAGGAAACTTGGTTACATAAACAGTATGTTGGTTCATTTGGATCAACAGGCATGTCTAATACCTCAGAGTGAGCAACTCCAGCACCAACCAATGCACCCGTAAGAGAACTAGTCTCTACTGCAACACTAGCTACGCTATTGGTAGGGTTGGTCGGATTAGTAACAACACTGACCAAAGGTGTTTTGCTAGGTGCCGCACTTGTTGTTTTGGCACCTACTGAAAATATTGGCAATTATTATACAATAAAATAAACATAAACAATACTAAAATTATGTTTTCCACAAACCTTTTTTCAATTGTTTCTTCTTAGATGTTTTAGTAACCGTTTCTTCTTCACTTGATGCACTTTTCTTTTTAACTTCTTTGTCTTTAGTCTTCTTGCGTCCTCCTGAAAGCAACATGCATAAAGAAATGATGGGACATCATAATACAATACATTGCAGAGCTTACGTCTTTGTGAACCTTCCTCTATATTTCTCGTAGCGCTGATGGCTTTGTCTTGAATTTCGGCTTCAAATCTCGCCAAATCAGAATCTAATTTTCTAATATGTTTATCCACCTGAAAGATAAAATATAGTAGAACATTTCTAGATTTGCGTGAACAACTCAAAAATAACATACCAATTCATAAGTTTGAATTGCCAATTGAACTTTGTCGTCACCGTATTCTTTTGCTTTGTCAAACTGACGTTGTATGCTATTCATAGTTTCATTCTTTTTTTCTACTGAGTATCCCTTGACATTTGACATATAATCATCGGCCAATTTGTCAATGTTGCGCATTAGTTCTTGAGCTCTCGAGTCGAGGTCTCGCATCAGAGTGAAGTTTCGCTGTAACTCAACAGGAAGGTTCTCCAAACCTAAAATATCACTCTGTTAGTATTTCGTTAAAATGTATACGGAAAGAGAACTTACTGTCGAGATAGTGTTCCAAGTACAGCGCTGAAGTCATTATTATAATTTAATGATTCAGTCGAAAATTTTAGAAAAAAAAAAAAGCAATAGACATTCGTAATCGTAAACAACAACAGTCTGGATGCTGGAAATTATTGTGTTTTTGTTTTATCAGCTTTTTGAATACAAAATTTGCCTCATAAATATCTTCTGTTGATATCGCGAATCACGAGATTTTGCCATTTTGGTAAAACATGTCAGTATGTCACATGTAGAAATATACGAATTTCGGGTAAATAAGGCGGTTTAATAACTGGCAACACTGCGCAAAATCAAACATTTCAAACGATATTTTTTCATTTTTCAGACAGTTATTTATTTAAATTTTAAATTTTAAGCGGGCCATCTGGGACTGGATCCCTGACATACGTCGAATGTTAATATATCTGTGGTGTGTACCTACTACCTACTACGTTGAATTCAGGCCATCAGTCATAAGTCATCATCATGTTAAAACCTAAAGTGTAGTTAGTTTCAATGAGATTCGTAGATTCGTTCCAGAAATCGCTGTTGATTTACTTCGATTTACCAAGTTGGTATGGATAGCCTATGCTCAGTTAGTACCTACGATTAACAATTTTTTCTTATGTATATAAAATGTGTTATTTTAAATTTAATGTAAAAATATGTGATTCCCCACAAAGCACCCGTCAGAAATTCTAAATAAAAATTGCGGGAAATGTACACTATTTTGTAGTTTATCGAAAAAAACCTTTTTTCAGCGCCACCCATCAGATGTGGTTTTAATCGGGCTATATATTGCAATATGAATCTAGGAAAAATAATCTCAAGAAAAAGGGACGAAAAACCTTACCGGCTTACCAACAAACACTAATCATTCAATTATTATGCTCTAATTATTGATATTATTTATTATTTATTTAAACATATAATGTATTATAATATAGCTTTAAATAAGTTCAATATAACTATATTTTTTGTATTTTTATATGAGATTTATATATTGGAATCAGAATAATAATAACACATGGGTACATAGGTATTTACAAAACAAATTGAATAACATTACATAATATATATCTTACTTCAAAACTTGTCCTTATTATGTTTAATTACACTTTTTTTATAACCCAATTAATAATCCCTTTAAGTAAAAACTTGTGGTTGGATACGCGAGTTCACAATTAATTTAAAAATTTTAATTTGTATTTAGAAGATAAATTTAATAACATAAATAACAAACAAATAATTAATAACTGTAATACAGTTAGTAGGTCGCTACATGAAATCTTGCAGATATATTTTTTTATTTCCTATTTAAATCTATATTTATTTTGTATAATTTTAATATTGTTTAATAACAATACCCAAGTACACAAAGCATTGTTTTTCATTAGGTATTTAGGTATGATATAATAGAATATACTTATGTAATTGTAATATAACCTTTAATCTTTATCATTTTCAAGGAAAAGTCAAACGTCAATTAGTTTTTAGTTTTATTGGGTATATATTATCACGCTGTAGTGTGTTCAAAAAGTATACATATAATATTATATAACATAATATTATGTTATTCAATATTACAATTGATTTACAAATTTCTGTAGAAAAAACATGATTCGCTATGGATATAACAAGGGTGATCATAGCCGTGGCTTATAATATCATGTAGATACAAGGTACATAAAGATTTTAATCAAATTTATCTAATTAAAGATAATTTTTTTCCGAATACCCCTCAATTTAAACCTTCCCAATATCTCTATTGACTCTATTATATAGTATTATCTATAAGAACAATCTCTAATATTGTCCTCAAAATCGTACTCTTGTGTAGTTTTTTTTAGTGTCATTTGGGGAGTGGCAAGGTTGGGCATTTCTCTTAATTTCTAAAATAGTTCCAACTATTTTTGAAAATGTCAAACAATTCGTTTTGAATACCTACATTAAATTGTACATAATAACTAAATTGTAAATGATCATTATACATGCATAAATATTTATAATAAAGAAAATAAAATATTCATTCCTCAGATCAGCGATATAGTTAAAATTAGGTATATTTGTTATATACATACATTGTGCGACATGCTAATATCATACAGTATTATTATAGTGTAGACGTATAGTATTATAATATAGGTACTAGTGTACAACGTACGAGCCTGCATAATATGATCCAAGATTATAGCTCAGAACACGCCAACACGGTCATAGAACATCTGAACATATCTTCTAAGACCGTGGCCATAGACATACATAGACAACATGTTTATACATGTTTATGTATGTCTATGACCGTGGCACAGAACCACGGTGTAGATAATATTATCTATACATTATGCATTGAATATAGATAGTACTATCTATAAATAGCTATAATATTATTCATAACTAATAATTATAATATTCACTAAATAATTATTAATTTTAATAATAATCTATCTAGTATATAGGTAGGTACCTAATACCTGTGTCTTTTAAATTATAATCTATACATAAACAAGTAACAACTCAGAAACCTATCAGTAATTCCCACAGTCACTACCCGTCGGTCAGCTAAAGTGGTTCAATTAAGGCAACACCTTTCACCTTTGTCTTTTGTGCGGCTATTCTACAATCAGCAATTAGCTTATTAGCTTCTGCTTTCAAACACCCATCTATCTACTAGACTATTTCTTCAATTGTTTATTCTCGTGAGTGTCAACGATTCTTCCAGATATTTGATTATAACGATAATAGACAAAAGTATTAGAGGTAATGTATATAATATATAGCTATAAAAATGAATAGTTTTTAAATGCTATTCTCACAAGAGATGAACTTTAACAACATTACTTATGTGTTGTGTTGATTCAAATAGTTTTTTTTAATAATTAGTAGAATTTATTGTATAGTGTGACGTGTGTACACATTGAATTCAGGCATAACCATGTCAAAACCCAATGTGTTAGTTGCAATGAAACATGTTCCAGAAATCGCTCTTAATTTACTTCGTGAAAGGTTAGTACCATGCACAAAATGTATGTTTAACAATTTGTCCACACGGATTTATATATTTCAGATTTAATGTAGAAATATGTGATGCCATACAAGCCACTCGGGCAGAAATTATGAAAAAAATACCTGGAAAATTTGCAATATTTTGTAGTCCATCAAACAAAATTGACGAAGAATTAATTAAAACTGCAGGTTAAAAAACTTATTACAACTAGATAAAATATTTATAATATTGTAGGTAGGTAACTGATGTAGTTAATAATTTTTCATTTTATAGGCCCCAGTTTCAAGGTTGTTGGAACCATATCTGTTGGATATGATCACGTTGACTTGGCTGCAATGAAAAAATATGGCGTACGTTTGGGATACACTCCAGATGTTCTAACCGAAACTGTAGCAGAAACAACAATTGGATTGTTGATATCAACAACGAGACGGTTCTTTGAAGCAAACCATGCATTGAAAACGTACATTTAATAATAATATAGTTGAATGTAAGTATAAAATAATTTTTTTTAGAGGTGGATGGAAAGATGTGACACCTGTTTGGATGTGTGGTAGAAGTATTAGAAACTCTACTGTTGGTATTATTGGATGTGGCAACATTGGAACATCAATTGCAAAGAAGCTGAAAACATTTGAAATTTCTCAATTGCTGTACACTAGTAGAACTGAAAAACCTGCTGGTAAAAAATTATTCAGTTAAGTGTATACTATATAATAATAATAAAAACTTTTAATTCATGATCAATTAGTCAAAGCTCTCGGTGGAAAATTGGTTACTGTTGATGAGCTTGTTGAACAAAGTGACTTCATAATCCTTTCTATTGCACTGACTGAGGACACTAAGTTTATCATTAACAAAGAACGCATTGCCAAAATGAAGTCACACGCTGTGTTAGTGAACATTGGTCGTGGAGGTGAGGCTCATTTTAAACATGCACATTATTACTTTAGATTAGTATTATGTTAATATTTGAGTTTTCAGGACTTGTTGACCAAGACGCACTCATTGAAGCATTACAAGAAAATAGAATTGGAGGTGCTGGCTTAGACGTTATGACACCAGAACCATTACCACTTGATAGTCCTTTAATTAAGATGAACAATGTTGGTATGTACAACAAAATATTATTTAGTTATATACATATTTACTAATAGTATTAAATTAATATGTTATATTATTTTTGGACTTTTAGTTTTGCTGCCACACATTGGGAGTGCTTCCATTGAAACACGAACAGAAATGGCTATTCTCGTCGCCAAAAATATAATTGCTGTCTTGGATAATACCGCAATGCCAAACGAAGTTCAGTTTTAACTTGATTATATCAAAATTTGTTAAAAATAATCTAATCTGTGAATGTCACTAGGTATAAAATTATATTTATTATTGCATTTATTGATTTAAAATTGTTAAATATAATATTTTCTTTAATATTTGAAATATATTTTACTGTATAATGTTCACTAAATGCATTTTCTTTGTGTACAATTTAATTTGATGAAACTTCCATAATCTAACAAATCTATACTCCGTCTCAAAAGAAAATATTCAGTCGGCCAATCAATTTAAGTCAGTGCCCCGAATCTCTCACCAACTTCAAGGTGTTAGCGTGATTCTTGACGAGCCAATCGCATCATTAGCAATGTGCAAAAAGTGACAGTTCTCTTTTGAGACAGTTTACTAATGTTTGATTAAAATTAAATCCTTAAGCAATTGATAATGTCAATTTGACGTAATCTACTAATTAAATGTTAGATATATTGACGTATTTAAGTTTGCATAGATATGGTGGACAGCCTGAGATAGGGTAGTCAAATTATATAAATATTATAATATTTAATTTAAATCTAAGTTTTATTCCAAAAACATTTTTCCAACATTTCTACTCATACCATAAAATACAAATAAAATGATCTAATATTATTTATAAATTTACAATACTATAAATTATAGTTAGTAATAGTAATTATTTTTTTTACTTTTTACTCCCATCTAAGGAGGTTTACAAGATGTGCATTATAAGTATCTGGTATATTTTTTTCCAAATCAAATAGTAATAAATTTTTTAGTTTAGTATAATAGCATACTGTATACTAAAAAAAAAAGTATTATCATTAAGCATATTACTGTATTAATTCCTAATACCTACATATTAGTTACTAGCTATCAGTTCAATATTCACTAGTCGACAGCCCATCAGGACTATGCTGTGCTCTCCCCTGTGGATGGTGGACTTGCAGACGATAAACTTTTTGTTGTTTTAAATTATTTATATTTTGTACTCTGAATTACAAAAATGTTTAAACCGATATGCATAGGAATTATGAACTTTTTTTCCTGCACTTCATTAAAAATGATATATTATGTATACAGTCTTCATCATCTGCCAAGTGCCAATCAGTGTACAATTTATAAATTATTTTATGATAGTTTGACATTTGACTGGAAAAATGTGTCATTTCATAATTATGTGTTTCTTTCTGAAAAGTGGTTAGTGAAAAGACTATTTGCTACAGAATATAGACACTTGGCTTAGGATATACTAATTGAGCTGTACTTTGTTGTTTGTAAATTGTTTCCAATTTGTACTGTTTATACTTTTATAGAACTTATTCAAATTTTGTAATCAAAAGGAAAAGTATATTATGAAATATAATATTTTTTGTTAATTATATTTTACGGTCTGAGACCTTTTATACGTAGATGGAAATATACGGTTTCTATTTAAATTGATAACATGTAACTATGTAAGAGAACAATGGCAATAATAATTCAGAAATAGAATAATAGGAAACAAAAAATACAGGTATTAATAAAAAATTAAAAATTAACATCAAAATCAGATTTTTAAAGGGTGTGCAATCTAAGTTTGCATTGTCGTTAGACATTCACCTATTGGCTCGTTCGTAAAATAATAAATGGTGAAGTTCGGAACGTAAAAAGGAGCAATGGATCGAGGACTGAGGAGCAATGGCTGAGGTACCTTAAAACAAATGAAAGATAAGATTGCAGAAGATTCTATTTTGCCATTCAATAAGCCTTCAATTATTCTATGATTTGTCCATTCAGGAAATGGATGAATAAAATATATCATCGGACGATGATGGCAGGATCCACGAGGGACTTCTTGCATATTAATTTCCCTAATCCCTAAATTGATACCTACTTATAACCTGTCAACAACACCCTTGTTTCAGTATTATAAAATCATTTAATTATATTTTGACTTATTAATGTCGACAATTTCCAAAATATTCAGTATATACCTATACTTCTAGCTTCTCTAGGTCCGGGCCGGGACTTTCGTGTTCGTGTATCTTTTGTTCGTGTTGTTAATTGTAATCATAGACAGGTAACATATTTTTATAATATCCATGTGAACAATAATATCAAGACCCAAGAGCCTAAAAGTACCCACGCACGACGTTCCAAAGTAGTAGCACACAGGCACATAGACAGGATTTATTTTATTTGGGTTTTTAATTTTTTATTCATCCATAATTTGGTGTTGACTCTTGACTGGAGGGTGATACGCACTCTCGATTGTAGTCAAAAATCTTCATATCAATAATAATATCAATAATATCAATAATATTAATAATTATGTAATACATGTAAGAATCATCAAGTTATTTTGTAGAATTCTGAATGATATGTGTAAGTTACGTCGTATATAGTACCTACCTACGTATATTTTTTGCATTAATACGTCAAGGGGGGTGTTTCAACATCCAAAACAACGCCATGGCTATGCCACTGGTATCACAGTCTACGGATTATAAAGAGGTACCATTGTACCAAGTACCTACTGTGGTAATGGGTAGTATACACTAATAGGTATCCATTACCCCGTGGGTCATGGCATATTCTTTAGTTAATAACTTATAGCTAAAATAGAAATATAAGATATAAGTAGGTACCACGGTGAACCATGATATGAGTGTAGGGCTAACCTCGGTCTTCGTGACTCCTTGACACTGTTTTAGTAAACAGAATATTGTATATCTGTACATAAATGATAATATCCAGAGATCATAGCCATGATCGTTATTCTGTATCATATAGTTAAACTTTAGTAGAGAGTCTCAAACACCCATCAGGGATGACCAACTTTAACGGACTTGTGATAAACCTGTGAGTAAATAACTTTACAATCAAATTTGTTGAGACTTAACCCCAATCCTCGGGAAAAAATTGTCTTTGTCTAGATAGCAAATTTGTAATACACTGCAAGATGAAATGTCAATTGAGTAGAATCGTGTAAATATAGTTGTAATGATTTTTTATACCCATCGATAAAAATGAGATAAAAAAAATACAAAATAAATTAAGATGACGTGATACCCGCATGTGTTGCCTCCGTCTTACAAGTGCGTAACATAGCAAATTGTACACTCAGCAGAACACGTGTAGCTCATTAAGATGTATAAAAAATTTACAATTTTAAAATACTCATAACTCGCTTTAAAATTAAAATATTATAAAAAAACCTATGAGGTTGACTAGATAATAATCTTACCTTTAGATTTTATAAGAGGTCAATTCACTTTAATTTTTAAATTAAAGGAGCTGCACGTGTTCTGCTGAGCGTAAAATTTGCTATGTTACGCACTTGTAAGACAGAGACAACACATGCAGGTATCACGTCCTCTTAACGACTAGAGAGACTAGAGAGTAACCGATCTCCTCAAAGGCTCAAAATCATGTTGCGATCGATTAACTATACACCTTTCAACCACTGATAATATGGGTCAGGGGCAGCCAAACTTTTTTTGGTCACGATCTACTAAAAATATACTTCACCTTTGAGAATCGACTTTTACAGAAAATATTGAATGAGTTCTAAAATGACCTTCTAGATTACCTTGTTATTTGACATATCAAACATATGCACTTGTCTTTCAACATTGTAAAAAAAAGTCCGTTACCCATTCTTGATGAAAATGATACGTTTTTTGTTTCTTATGTGCACTCATAATTATAAATTTTAAAGAACTTAAATATGTTATTATAAATTCAATACAACAGACACCGCATGAACACAGTGAAAAGAACATTCGTGAACGATAAACATTAGAAACCAGATTAAAAGATAAAATTTTTTCGACAATTCGATAAGTAATTTGTGCGCGTGTCCCTAAAAATAAATTCTAAAATGATTGACTTTGAAATTATCCGCGATTGACTGTTTGGCCGCCCCTGATATAGGTAGTAGGCTATATTATAATTATTATTATATATCAGTAGGCTCACTCATGACAAAATGTCAAAATATACTTATACGTATATTTTGTCATGGGCGCATTACAACTTGACCTGTGCTAGAATCTAGAGTCTATATAGTATCTAAAGCCATCGTAAACTGTAAAGACTGTACTACTTTAGAGTATCAAATCATAAATAGTAATGATAATACCTATTCAAACTCATAAACCGTTTACAAGTACAATGTCTATGCTCGTACTATTCACGTGATATTGTGATAATTTTTTTATTTTTTTTTATTTTAGGACTTTTAGCAATAACTATTACAGTTCAACAATTAATTAATAAGATTGTGATAATTATATTCATAATAAGTAATAATATAGGTAGTGGGATAGTGAGCACTGGGTACTTAATACTTACCCACTTCTTACAATAATAGTGATTTAAACCTTAATCATTTCGTGTATGTTACCCATATCGGCCATATCACATTATCACTGCAATCCAATGCATTTAGACAAGTATACTGATCAGAAGTGTTGTTTTTTACGCGTTTAAAAATTAAATCCATTCGAAGTAGACAGAAGTTATTTGTTTTTCCAAATATCTATCCATAGGCCATATTATCCAATCATTTTTACCGACGGTGCGGTAACCTGACGACACGAACAGCAACCGATTCACGGTTGTATACCATTTTGCTATAAATAAGGTAATAACTTTACTATTAAGTTACTCATTGTTTATAACTGAATTTTTTTTTCAAAATGAAATTCAGTTCAGTGACTTAGTATATATCAGTTATCTAAATCCTTAAGTTAATACCATAAATATAAAGTAGGTACCTACTACCTATACAAAACATTTTTTTTTGTAGTATACTTGGATCTATATCAAACCAGAGTTAAGACTTAAGATGGTAGGTAGTTTAATATAGTACCTAGTCCGAACATTGAACTTGAAAGTATTATAATTTTCAAAAACGATTACATTACGATACAGTCTGATGAATGAAGTTTGAGTTAAAAAATGTTTTTGATGTCAGTAGTAACTAGTAGGTACTTAGTACTTACTAATAACCACCGAAATGCATACGTACAATGTACCTACCTACAACAAAGTCGGTATGTCTCCGATTAATTTTCAAATTTAGATTATGGGTGACACCTACATTTTTATAACTTATAACATTTCAAACAACATAATTCGCCATTCGGTTCGATTTTTAATTTTTATGTTATAAAATTGTTATCAATATATATTTATTTACAGTTAAATATTATCAATATAACTGAATATCGATATCATCACGTATTGTATGTGTACTGTGTAGTTGCTTGTAAGCCAACACCCTATGGAAAAATTGACAATAAATTATAAAATATAATTATTTTTCTACAAAATACTGACATGATTCCTACTAGTATACCGCCCAGTCATAGAGCTTATACACAAATTAAGACATTTTATCTATATAAACTGTGATAACAGTATATTGTGTTTTATGGTTAAACTGATAAAAGTGTTAACAAATGCATCAATTTGTGATACGTGAATGAGAACAAAATCGGTTTTTACTGGAGTTTCTAGGGAATGCTCATAACTTATAACTCATAATTCAGAAGTCATAGATGATTACTCGGCACCCTCTCTGCTGTTTATCGGTATTCGAAATGTGATAGCTGCAGGTTATTCCACTTAATTAACTGTTAATTTTTATACATTCACAATATTGATTTAACCGTAATAAATCATATTGGACTGCTACGTAGTAGCGTAGAACTAACATAACTATTATTAGCCATATCGCCTATATCAGCCTATATTATGTAGTTAATACCGATAACTAACAACTTACAAGATCACCTAAATCTACTAGCAAAATATATTAATACTAGCAATATTAATTTACAAGCAATTATTACGCTCACTAATTACCTACGCCTGCGCTATCTAGGGACCTGGGGTAACTGCTCAGAGGCACACTTAAGAAAAATACAAATTTTCCAAAATACAATTCTAAGAATAATAACAAACGCACCATGGTTCATACGAAATTAATATCTACATAAAAACCTCCGAATCATTAAAATTCAAGATCATTAAAGATCCTTGCTGCAAATTTCCATAGCTCACTCCACAGATCAACTGGCTCACTATACTTCAACTTACACATTCGACCACCACCTAAAAGACGTCTAAAACGCGGTCGTCTGCACTATTTTATTCTTTAATGATTATTAAATAAAATTATAAACTTTAACGAAATTATATTCTTTATCCGCACTGTTATTATTATCTATATGTCTGATCAACCTTAATTTATTACTATTGCTTGTCACTAGTGTTATTATCGCTATTATTACTATTTATAATTATTATCATGTTAAAATAGTCAAAAATCAATGCTTCTAATTATCAATAGATGTAGATAGCCATATAGCCAAGAAATGTCTTATTATAAAAAAAAAAAAAATACACAATTAACTAATACTTCAACATTAAGTATAAATAATAAACATAAATAATAACATTTTTATAATATAATATAACATGTAAAAAATGTAGCAATAAGCATATGACTTTTACCTATATGTATATAATATGCATTTTAACCATTTTTTTGGACCTTCTAAGGATGGCCTTTTCAAGCCATAAAATCATCAACCGGTATAAATTACTAGGTATAGTAAAATCCATTGTCTCAATAATCTAGATTTATAGGTTGACTAAAGCACCTACTAACTTTTGAATTGAAAGGGGGAGGCTTAACTGAAATTTGGAAGTACGTATAATGTTAAATATATTCTTTATAGTCTGTACATAATATACATAATATTAATATATACCAGGGTCGGTAACCTGCGGCCGACGATTACAATTTATAATTGGTATAAGAATATGGAATATCACATTATGATAGTTGATAGTAGCTGGTATTTATTATTTAATTTATTCTTACATTGAATATACACGTTATCTACATTTTGATTAACGTTAATACCCAACGAAATATTACTTAAGTATTACTGAATCGGTTTTATAGTGCAATCGTCTTAGTTCTACGTGTGATATTTTTATACGTTTAAATGAGTGCTATGTGACATCGACAATTCAAACAGTTCTTGGATGAAGTTGAAGCTGAATATGGTAATGTTATTTATTTCGTAGAAGTTCGTTGGTAAGTAGGGGAGCAGCTTTTAAACGATTTTTCTTTCTCAGGCAGGAAATAAATACATTTATGCAAAGGTGGGCATTAACTAGTTAAAAAGTTAAAGTTAAGTTTAAAAGTTTATTTTTTTTAACTGTTTAACTTAACTAGTTAGTTTGTTTTCTAATTAACTTATGAACTTAACTAGTTTAATTTACAGTTGAAATAACTTAGCTATTCTCAGTTGATTTAAAAAAAAAACCAATAAGTTAAAAACATTTTGAAATTTTTTGTTTATACGTAAATATTACTATATCAGTATAAAATAAAAATAATCCAATACTATAATAACACAAACATTTCTGTACTTTTTCTTGATAACATAATTTTGTGTATATTAATATATTTATTTTATAGTTTAATTTAATAAATAATAAAAAAGTAAAAGGGTATACAGTGCACATTATGATAAAAGTTAAATCAAATTGATTTATAATTTATAAATTAGAAACTAGAAAGGCACATTCACTCTTTATGTGATTTACTTAAAAAAAAAAAGATTAACTTTTTTTAAACTGAGTTAAGTTAATTTTTTTTTCTATATTAACTTATAACTTATCGAGTTAAGTTTATAATTTGTTAGCTGTTAACTTTTAACTTATCGATCTTGTGTCCTCTTAACTTAACTTAACTTGAGTTAATTATTCGAATATAAATTCGAATATTAAATCATTTTCAGTTAAATTAAAATTAATGGAAAAAATTAAATCATTTCGTTTGTTGTAAACAAACCATGGCCGAGACATTTCAATAATGTTACTGGGATTAAGTGAAAGTAAAATTGTTGAATATCATTGAAAATGTACAAAGTGAATTTTCAACCAGATTTTTAGAGTTTTATTCAATTGACTTCAAAATAAAATTATTTCAATACCCATTTGCAGTTGATATTAATTACGTTGAAAGCTACTTACAAATGAAAATTATTGAGTTGCAAAGTTACGAATGTCTTAAAACTGCTTACCATGATGGCATGATTAGTTCAGTTTTATTCAAGTCTCTATGAAACACAATTTAGTAAACTTATATATTTTGTCAAACAAATGTTATCCGTGTTTGTCAGCACGTATGTTTGCGAGCAAACTTTCTCACTTCTGAAATATCGAAAAAGTAAATATGCTTCCCGATTAACCGATCATCACTTGAATGATGTATTGATTATTTCTACATCGAAAATCAAACTTACGATAAATAAACTTGTCAATGCTGTTCAAAATCAAAAATCACATAAGTTTTTATTATTTTGTATTATTATTAAAACATTGTTAATATATACCACGTTAAATTAATATAGGTAGGTACCAAATAGTGATAAAAAGTAAATAAATTAAATTAAATTTTGTTTAAAATTCAAACTGTAAAATTTATATAAAATAAGGTGTATGACCCGTGAAATTTATTTTTTGTCCCTTAACGCCAAAATCGTTGCCGACCCCTGATGTAGACTATAGGCCATAGGGTCTAAAAGTAGTTTTGTATCCATATTTATTGTATTAACTATTAAGTATAATCCCTTGTTTTGAGATCACTAATGGTTAATACTTATTTTTTGTCTGATGTACCTATTTACTAACATTTTATCATATTTTTTGTACAGTGTCAAAACCTTTGGAGTATAAAAACAAGTTTTTAGTACTCAATGATGTCATCAAAACCAAAGGTGCTGGTAGTACGTGATGGTTTTGCAAAAAAAGCCATCGATTTGTTACGTACAAGGTATCTAGATTAATTATTTATTTTAATTTTTGCAATGAAATGTAACTTTATTATGATGATTACTTATTCATAATAATATATATGTATATAAATTCAACATTTACAATATTTGTATGTTTTATATTTTAAATTAAATAATTAAATACTATACCTAAGTTTATTACATTTTTATATGTGGAAATGGTAAGTTTATACGTTTAGAACGTTAATTTATTGGTAAGACTAAATTTTAATAAGGAAATTAGTATGCTTTGATTTTCCATTTGGAATAGTATCTTCTAACTTAAAAATATTCGACAAGTGTGCATTGTTTATTTTGTGTTTTATACCTTATAGTTTATATGGAATATAGTTTGAAATTGCTAGTGCATTTTGATGTGGTTTGTAAATTATAGACAGTGTAGTTTGTTTTGATTTGATTTCGTCTAGGAAATATGCGTTTTGTAAATTATACTGTAGTCATTATGAACGTCATGGATCAATTAACAATATCTGACCGTACATGCGCCCATGCCATATGATTCTCCGTAATTTGTACTATAAGAACTGAATACAGTTGTATAACACAATAGTCAATATTTATGTTTTTGGAAAAAAGTACATTCAAATAATATTGAGCAAATGATTTGTATGACCGATCTCGACGTTGTATTTGTTTTAGTTTGTGTATTAAATTTGCAAGTGCATAACACACGTACAACACAGACACTTCTGAAGTTCTATAACAAGGATTGAAATATAAATTAATTACAGGTGTGAAGTGGAAGTGGCCAAATGCAGTAACAAGGATGGAGTGATAACAACTCAAGATATTGTAGATTGTGCACCGGGCAAGTTTTCCATTTTCTGTTATCCTAGGGTTCCAATAACCGAACAGGTCCTAAAAGCAGCAGGTCAGTGTTGGTTGATGATGATATTTCTATTTATGTTTCTATATTAATCATACATGTCACAGGTTAATACGCAAAAATATTTAAAAAATGTTAGAAAAAAAAAATTAAAAAATTGATTAATAACCTAATTTATACTAAATAGGTAGTATGTACCTACCTAGTACCTACATTCTTCATCAAAATCAAAACAAAAATGTTTGTCTTTTGCTATATTAACATTTAGTTAAGTAAAATACGACGTTCTTTTTCTGAGAATTAATTTCTGATAGCCTTTGCGCCTAGAAAAAATAATTTTAAACTTATATTTTTATAAAATGGAATTAGAAAAACTATTTCAGTTCGTCCAGAATGTGTTAAATAGTAGGATGTGGATGATAGAACTCTGAATTAATTAGCGAATCATATGATTCGAAAGCATTTATTTTGTAATTACACAATATTTGTAGCTCAATTTATTGGTATAAATTTAAATTGATATAAATCCATGTATCTTAAATACAATGAAATAAACGTCAAATTTTCAAAATCTATCTGTGGTGCAGATTTTGTGCACACACAGCAATTTTGTTTTCTGCAGTCTAGGCGCATTTAGGAACCTATAGGGGCGTTAAAATGTAGTTTTACGGGTTCCGCAAATAACAATTGGTTATAATATTGTAATATACTATTTATATACTAATATATTAGGTACAAGTATAATCATTGATATGAATAATTTTATAAATACTTAAACATGGTAGTCATTTATATATTTTTAACACAAGATAAACATTAAACATAACTATTGTCCATTTTTATATAATATAGGACCCAGTCTTAAAGTGGTCGGTACAACGTCGGTGGGATACGATCACGTTGATTTGATATCCATGAAAAAATATGGTGTACGTTTGGGAAATACTCCGGGTATTCTGACGGAAACAGTAGCGGAAATCGCTGTGGGCCTCATCATAGCCACCACCAGAAGGTTTTTCGAAGCGAACCGCGCAGTTAAAACGTAAGAGACCGAATAGTGTTTTGAATATTACAATGAACACCTGCGTTACGGTGCAATGGTGTGCCTACCAGGACGTAGCCATGGGGGGGGGGTCCATGGGTTCCGGACCCCCCCCCCCCCGAAATTTTTAGACAAATAAACAAAATTATAGGGATAATTATAAATTATAATATTTTTATTCATGTAATTCACTAGAAGAGTATGATAAAATACCTATATTTTTACCATGTTTAGATGGTTTTATCTTACATCTCGAAAATAGGTTTGAACAGAATAATGATATTTTATCGTCAATAGAAATATTGTTACCAAAATTCGCTTTAGAAAAAAACGTTGAAAAACTAAAAAATCTCACTTTTTATTCAATTGATTCTCCCCCGAAATAAAATCCTGACTACGTCCCTGATACCTACTACCTATTTTATATTTTAGAAGTGTGCCCGCTAGTCTGATTAGTACACCGCTTTCTCGCGGCTGTATTCAATGCACTGCATATCTATATTAGACGTTAGTTGTACAATTTAATGCAATTTTTTGTTTATAAAAAATTATGTTAAAATAATAAAAATAATAAATAGTAAGAACATTAATTTAAATACTATATTTAAACTGCAATATTATAATATATGGCTTTTTAAAAAAAAAAACGGTTATTTTGTGACGAATCTTCGTCCTATATACACGTATAAATACGTATTCCAAACCAACAGTACACTGAAGTATCCTTTTGGTGGCCTTCAACCCCCCCCCCCCCCGGACGTGTTATGTTATAAATCTTATATAATAAATGGCAAAGTATAGACCATAATATTTATATGAAAACGGTTTTAAAGAAACATTTTGAGTATACTATCAATTATTTTTAGAGGTTATTACGGTTACGGGATATAATAATAACGACGTAGAATAAGGTAACGGATATCAAATTCTAATTTACTTTGTTTGCCCCCCCCCTCCATTGAAAAATCCTGGATACGCCGCTGAAACCGTACCTTCACCCACAATAAAAACCAACTAATAACCATCAGGCGAAGTCTTGACTGAAAAAAAAATATATTAATAATATTAATAATTATTATTACTTATGTATCTAATAACAGAAGTTTCAAATTTTTAAATAGGTACCTACTTGCTTTATGCCAGAAAGCAAATCAATTTAAGAACATATTAAGTGAAATTTGGAACTGTTAAAAGCTGTTGATAATTTTTTTTATGTATATATATATGCAGAGGTGGATGGCAAGAATGGGTTCCCGGGTGGATGTGTGGTAGGAGCTTAAAAGGCTCGGTCGTGGGCATCTTAGGTTGTGGCAGCATCGGCACGTCGATTGCAGAGAAATTAATACATTTCAAACTGTCCCAACTTTTGTACACCAGTAGAAGTGAAAAACCGGCCGGTAAGTATTGAAGTCTGCGGCTCTACCGTTTACGGGTGTTCGACGCGCATATCTGTGTATGTGAACTTATAATCTGTAATCGGAGGCTAGAAAATGTATGCTAGTGCAGCAAATCCATTAAATTCAAAAACATGATCAATTATGAAGTGTCTTTTCCATAGTCAAAGCCCTTGGTGGACAATTGGTTACTGTGGACGAGTTGATGGAGCGTAGCGATTTCGTCGTGGTTGCCGCTGCCTTGAATGAAGAGACGAAATTCATTGTCAGCAGAGAACGAATCGCCACCATGAAGTCCAATGCCATATTGGTGAACATAGGTCGTGGACGTGAGTATAGCTATCCGTAATATGTAATACGTATATATAATGTGTATTTTGTATCTTTATTATGTATAGATTGATTTTTCTCTTTGATATTTTTTCATACCATTTATCATAATATCACTATATAGTATAGTAGGTAATTACAGCAATATACAGTAACCTACTCGATGAGGTACATTCCACATTTACTATAGGTACAGCACAGTGACCTTCCAGAATTTTTTATTAAACAAATATGGAGAAGGACTCTTTTAATTATTTAGATGGCAGATTACAAGTATAGAAATATACAGTTCATATTTTGTATTGACGTATTGTGACAGCATATGAAATAAAAATATAAACAAATAGATAGCCAGATAGGAATGTTTTATTTTTTTAATTACCTATATTACTGAGAACTTTAAATTATTCCTCGACGACTATAATAAATACCACGTTGAATACACGAGTTCTCGTCTGATCATTGAAGTTAAGTAACTAAAGTGTATACCCTAGTTAGTTCGTGGATGGGTGGCCGCTTGGAAATTTATACACTATATACGTATCATTCGAATTTTTTTTAAATTAATATAAATATTTTGAAAATGTCATTATGTTTATAGTAAATAGTAATATACCTAGGTACCTAGTTTCAAAACTAAAACAAAAACATAATATTATAATACTTCATGGAAGTAGGTCATGACAGATATTATAGTTATTTTTTAATAAGAAATATGGGGGACTGAGACCCGTCTTATCAATATCATGGGGGGTTGCAGCCCAGGCACCTCCCTGTTCCTCTCGGCGATTGTAAACTGCGCCCAAAATACAGGTAAACACAAAATCACACATGTAAACCGCGCCCGAGTTTTTATCAAGAGTAAAAAGGTGACATGTTAACTGCGCCTGGGTAAAATTACAGGTAAAATACTTAATTCGTTACAGCCATAAATTTGAATAATTAAAAATAAAATATAATTTTAAAAAGCAAAATAAATACAAATATTACAAATAATTACATATGGTGGATACATATACATATACATATTCGTCAATTTGAATATACGATTATATTTATTAAGAGTTTTGGAATTTAAACGGTTCATACTTAAGGTTCTAGCAGCACTATGCTGGAAGTAGTGATAACCATCAATTGTCGTATAACTGCAATATAGATATTTGATAACGTGATGGTATTTCTTGACAAAAATGTAATGTCTGTGATATACTTGAAAAACTACACAATCGTCAAACATAGAGACTTTGATAAGTGAACATTTAATAAGTTAAAAATTCGGGCGCAGTTTACGTATGCCCGTTCCTCTACATATTGCCCATGAATAAGCGTAATAAACTAATAACGAAAAGTGTCACGTCCCTTCATTGCTTCTATATATTATGTTATAATTTAATATTTATTACTTATTAGTTATTAGTAATTAGGCTTGTGAGCTCTGTGAATATTATGTTTTCACCCATTTTGTAAAATAGCAGCTTATACTACTGATTCAAAAGTTAAAAACAATGTAATCTATGTGTACAAAAATGGAGCCAAAAATGTATAACAATTCATCAATTGAGAACGGCCGGGCCGATTTGGCTCAATTTTTTTTTTAATTGTTCGTAATTGCCAGGTTTTTACAAAAAAAATGTTGAAAAAATCCTTTTTTTAAAAATTTTTTTTGATGATTTATGTTTTGAGTTCCGGAATGTTTTTTCGAATTACAAAAGCTACAGCAAGCTTTAGCTTATAAAATTGTCCATATGACATAATTAATCGTTAAAATGGGGCCCCCGGCCAACACTAAAAAAATGGATCAACATGGAGAAATATGTCGTGTATTGAATATTAGGTATTAATATTATGTTTCACTATATAAAGTAAAGTTTAAATTTTGTAAAGTGACAATTTTTGTATCGTTTTTGTTCCGTTCGATTTTATTTATAGCTGTAATATTCTCTTTACATAGAACGCAATAGTCGATAGTAGGAGATAAAATTTAGGTTTTATCTATGTAAAATATGATTATTCAATTATTACGACTTCATTTTCCATTATCCGTTGTTGGCGTCACCAGAAAAACTACTCGAGTACAATTTTAGTTTATTTTATTTTACTAATCTAACAAGAAAGAATCCTGGATGGTTTAGATTCGCAATTGGACCCGATAGGTTCCACCCGGGGAGTTGCTCAAACAGAGATTTTAAGATTTACGAAGAAATTATTTGTTTATATACAGTTGCAATGATTATAGGATAAATATACTCGTAAATATATTTAGTAAAAATAGTTATTTTTTTTTTGTTTATTGGTTGCCTGCAGTGGTTCATCGTGCAGATCAGGTATAAGCATGCATACAATTGAATGCCTACCATGGTGGCTGAGTTGCACTTATAGCCGCTCATCGGCATGTCCACAATCAAAATAAATATAAAACATGTTATCTCGATAATACACAGCAGGTAGGCATAATATACTGCTCGCATTATCACCATCGAGTCTCATATTATAGAGTTGGCGATTTTAATGGACAAAAAAGTGCACGGGACCAGCTAGTATATTATATAAATACACACTTTCATAGTGTCGTTATACGTATACTATTATAATACATGTAACGTTTTCTGCAAAAATTACCTAGGTTATTTTCTATTGACTTGTTATAATTTTAAAAATATTTTGGCTGTTTATTGAGTTAAGACTAAAGAGATTTGAAATTTGAAATTGTTTTATATTTTTCTTAGGTTTATGACGCGGTTAATTTGTTGTTTCTAGGTGAAATGTATATTAGTTCATTTATATTATAAGTTATATTTGAATAAAACATAAACTATCCATAGAAAAAAAATACTTATCTACACAACAACACAACTCCTTTTCTCAGATTCATTTTTATTTTTTTTGTAAACAATGATACATCGTTGAATTCAAATTCAAAAAATCGACTACATTGACCCAATAATTATGAAATGTTTGAACACTCTTGCCCAATGGCCGATGTGTATTTATAATTTATACTCAAACACTTTTTACAAGTGGAGAATCAGAATATTTTTCAAACAACAAAAATTAAATTTATAAAATATAATATTAATTTATAGCCATGATTTATTCTTATACTTCGTAGAGTTGGTTGATCAAGACGCTCTGGTCGAAGCTCTCAGGGAGAAGAGAATCCGAGGCGCTGGACTGGACGTAATGACTCCTGAACCACTGCCATTGAATCATCCACTGAATGGTCTTGATAATGTTTGTACGTACTTACTTATCATAATAGTTATGAATATTTTGTTTTTAAATAAGTTGTAGATTATTACGATAGTTTCTGTTGAACTCCGTAAATATTCGTTTATAATTATTTATGACATCTTTATCGGCTTTTATTTTAAAATAGTGTATTTTTAGGAGAAGATTTAACTACCCAGCTAATAAATATTTTTCTTGTGGCCGCTGCAGTTGGTTACCAATGTGCCTATTAACATGGGGGTTTTTTTGTTCCACTTCAATAATTTGGCTCACATTATTTGCAGTGCTCCTGCCACACATCGGCACATCCACCTCTGAGATGGAGGAAGAGATGGCTGTGATGACCGCCCAGAACATATTGGCTGTATTGGATGGTAGCCCTATGCCCAACGAAGTGATTTTTTAACGTGATAGCTGTCGTCCGCAACTGTATGTGCAAGGCAAAATCATGTCATTGATTAAAACATTTCAAAATTACAAAATAAAAATACAATTTATGAGTTATATTTACTAATGAAATATGTCAGTACAATTAACAGTAATTACTTATCTATTTTAGCTTTTAATAATAGACAATATCATATAGCCATACATATATTATATACGTAAACGCATTCTATACTGCATACATATATAATATATATGTGTGATACGTATTATTATTATTTATTATGCATTAACACACTTATAGCATTATATAATAAAATATGTATTATAAGTTATAACTAGCTGTTGGTTTATTCTTGATAGAGTATATACTATATTACTATAGGGCTGCAATTTTAATGGAAATACTTTGGGGGCTGCATAGATTTTGCAGCAGCAGATGCCATCACTGCAGCGTGTTTGCTTCTTATGTTTTTTAATGATATTTTGACCACTTTAAAGCTTCTAATAATCGTCTACCTCGGGGAGCCATTTACGGCATTGTACCTACTTATACTGTATTACAGCCTTAACTTACGTATCTATATTACTTATTATATAGTTCTGTAGTGTATTGTTATATCAAAATAAAATGTCGCTCGCGTCTTAATTTTTGGGGGCCCTTATTTAAATTACTTCCCGGTAAAAAAATATAAACCTATCCGCTACTGGCCGTAAGCACAGATATTGTTTTGGTGGAAACGTAGTCAATCTCATCTAGTGAAACGATCGTATCGGTAGAAATGGGAAAGGTACACTTTTAGAGGAATGGGTACCGCCCTGGCACTCTAAAATCACAGGTTTTATGAAAGCTTGAAATATTACCAATTTGTTGAAACGAACCGAATTGAATTTTCTTTCTTTGATACAATGATTCAAGAAGTATAAAAATGTGTTAACATTTTCACGATTTTCGAGGATGCAGTATCTGGATTTATTTAATCTGGGCTAAAATAGTAATATTGTTCTATGATAATAGTTACTAATGGCAGTACTCTCAAATCCCTATAACATTATAACATATTAAGCGGCCGCTAAATGTGTCCATCACGTTAGCGTAAACCTTAGCAGGACATTATAATAATGGCCCTATAAATGTGACAAATGAATTTTTCAATAATTATTAAAAATATTTAATAAATTAAACAAATAAATTAAAATGTAAAATCAGTACCAATAAGCAATAACAATACATATTGCAGCATTTATATTTTATTGTTTAATAACGTAATTGTAAATAGAAGTATAGGACAAAATAGATACATATATATAATTTGCTGTTTGAAAAATTAGTACCATATTATTTAAATACTATACTATAAGCTTCAAAACAAGATGATAATAATTGCACAACGTTAAATGATATTATTTTAAAATAATTAAGAGAAAATAATAGAGAAAAATTATGCCTATAGGCTATACCAGCGGTTCCCTAACTGTGAAGCCTCACCTCCCTTGGAAGGCGTGAGTTTTTGGCAGGGGAGGCGCGAGTCGCGTGGTAAATATTGATATTTTTTAATCAACTATAATTTTGTTAAAACGTCTTAACTATTCTAAAAAAATATTTCACTATGTCAGTTTTACTTTAAGTCACGTTACACGATAATATACTTGATTCGAGGATTTTCGTAATAGTTATTTCTTTATGAGAGCAGCAATTAATATTTTTAATTTTTAGGGTGGTGTAAACTAAAAAAGATTGGGAACCGCCGGGCTATACTATAACTATACTTAAATCATTACATTGAGTTATCATTTTGCATGTTCTGCATATATGTTAGGTCTGGTGGAATATCTGATCTCGTTTCACTGGATTTCTATCCTGCTGTGCATTTTGAAATACATTCGTTGCTTTAAATTGGCTTTCAACACTAGAAAAAAAAAACTGAAATAAAAATATAAAATTCACACACGTCAATACTAACAAATTGATCCCTGGGTTGTAATAATTATTCAACTCTGAAAATGAAGGATTGCCTTGTACAATCTACAAAATAACAGTTAAATCGTTATATTTTTATTATTGGTTATTAATTTGATAAGTATCATTTACTTCTTCCGTCGTATCGTAATGTTTTTGAGTTTCAGGTCGTCCTAACATTGATTGACAAGTACACGGTGATGTTAATGTTCTATAAACAAAATCAAAAAGGAAATTGTTTAAAAAAACTTGTACAAATATACGTTTTGTAAAAATAAGTAACATTGTAGTATTTTACCCATTTCCGCCATAATTGTGGCTCCTTTCGTCGACTAGGGACACAATTTATTATTTCATTAATATTTTTTTAAATTCGGTAAGTTTGAAAAAGTTGTTTATAAAATATATAATGTGAATTCTCACATGCATCATCGAAAAACTCCTCATAGACTATGAAATAGTTTCCCTGGTTCACTAGTTTGGACAATTGAAAATGTTTCCACATAAACTCCAATAGGTTTTTAGTGGGATTTTCTATAGCCAAATTTTTTGCACGTAAATGAATATCCTATAAAAAATATGATAAAAACGTTAGTTTTTATAAAAAAAAACGATTTTATATTAATAAAAATATGGTAATCGTTTGTTATTGATCTGTTTTACCATAAACGTAATATCATTTATCGCACAGACTATCATTCCAGATGGTGTGGGTACTATTAAATGAGACAATAAAAAGCACTGCGAAACCGCAACAAATAATTTTCTGGAAAAGTATTTGGCGGCATTGTGAATTCATTGGACAAAATGAATTTGAAACTATTCTAAAAGATGTATATATTTTTTTATTTTATACTTTTATTAATAATAAAAAAAAAAAAAATGATTATAAATTTTTTTATTTTCATTTAATAGAACTATGTACTTTTAGTATTATCATACAACCATAAAAATGCTGCTTATCTTAACTAATATTTAATTTTAAAAAAACCCTACATTTATTATTAATTTGTGTATTACACGAAAATAAAATAATGAGTTCGTGACTGTGGTAGGCTAGTGGTGGAGCAATAATAAACAAGAACTAAAATTATTTAATATAATTTACAAAAATATGTCATCGTAGCTACCTGTAGCATATAATCAATCAGATATTTTCCATAACCCTTATGCTGTCTAGATTCATGGACGTAGAAATCCATCAAACAATAGACCATGGTTTCTTTACATGATCCTACAGCTTTGTTGTAAAGACACAATTTTTTCCATCCCATCTTTAAAATTCCAACAACAACAAAATTCCTTGACGACAAATACAATTGTTACAATAAAAATATAAAATACAATCTAAAGTGTGATGTCTAATATATTCACTTAAAAATTCCTGAAATGTCATTAATTAAATTAGTCCATACATTTTAAAATTAAAAATTATAAATAGTGCATAACTTACAAATTAAATAATTGCAAAAATCTATATAAACAAATTCAAAACTTTCAAATTGTTTAACCTACAAGCACGCGGGATCAAAAGGACCTATAACCACAGGTCGATACCGAATTTTACTTTGATATCTGATTATACTCATAAAATAATCAATAATCTATACATCATGAATATTATAATGTTTTAGTTATTACATATTTACGTGTAAATTGTATGATTATTTGAATTTATTAATCTAAACCGTGACCTAACAAAGGTACTATTATGCACCTGTTACAATATTACGATTTACGATATATCTAAAAAAAAGTGGAAACCTACACCACTGCCTAGCAGGGAAAATGTGAATATACCATACTAACAAAAAATTAGGGAAAATGGGAATTTTTACTCAAAACTAGTTTTTGAAAAAATCGATATTCTTATATTTTGTTGTAAATCGAAACCGAATAATTGTTAAAATTATCTCCCAAATGTTTTATTTAACATTTTTGATAGGTAAATGGTAAATATGATTTTTTAAATTTTTTCAAAACTTAATGAGCCATAACATTTGAGGCTTTCATTTTTTTCTGTAAATATTGATAAATAATTGTTAGTAGCTTATACTGGATCAACAAATTCTAAAAAATGTATAAACGTCAAAGCTGTTACATAATATTATAATTTATAACTATAGGATTTTACAATAACAAGGATCGATTACTCATACACTTTCCCCTTTTTTTTAATTTTGTGCTTATAATTATAAAAATCACGATTAGTAGTGAAAAGTAATAGACCATGCATAATTTTTGCTTTAAGAAATACCGATCGACAAGTTATATGACTAGTTCGCAATTTCAAGTTTAAACTAATATTAAATTTCTTTACTTCGAAATTAAATCTCAGTAGTTAACAAACAAAATCTACTGATTATAGTAATTTACATACAGATTGGCGTAAAGTGGGTTAGTTGGATATGAATTATAAAGGTTTAAAATTTAGGTTATACGCTTGCACCCTTTGCAAATAAGAACTGGATAAGCTATGACCAAAAAATATTTAATTAATTAAATAGATATTTAACATAGGTATCTTACGTTGAAGTATTGTGTTCGATCATCATGTAGAGGACGTGATTGGAATTGATGAGCATTTCTGCGCTGGTGATCGGCGCCCTTAACTCTCGTGCCATTGCTGATACTTTGCCCATCTCGTCGATCATCCATCCCATTTTGCTTCTCAAACTTAACAAAAACATATATTATAGTATTTATAATACTTGTCTATACTATTAGCCTGTTGGAGTATAAGTAAAATAAACAAATAACTAGTAATACATGATGCAGTTACAGAAGGACCTGTCAAATGAAATAACTTTCGTTCCAAACAATATTTAAACATTTTATTTTCTTAATTTTTTATCAAGTTAGTATGGTAATTGAAATGAAAAAAGTCTGAATTTTGAAAACTTCAAAAGAATTTGTGTTAAATAGGAAAATAATAAAAATGTAACTCAGCAATAATGATAATATGTGGGTAATTAAGCTAGCTTTAATATATAAAATATTAATGAGAGAGATTCGATATCACTCCCTATTTGAATCCACAAAAACGTCAGCGTGAACAGTCCCAACATTTCTAATTTTTAACTTTTCTCCTTAACTGTGATAGGTAGAAAGTTGGTTGTTAGCTCATTAAAAAGAGATTATTAATTCAATACAAAATGTGGAATTAAAAATTTAAAAAAAATTTAATTTTTCACAGTTAAAAAGTTATTTTTCGCTAGATTTTCATTTCGTGGAATAGATTTCCGAAGCTGGAGAACCGATTTTGTTGTTTGGGATCTTGTTAGATTCACATTGGCTAGGAAAAGTGCAGTGAAGATTTTCATAACTTTATCTTCAATCGTACATTTACTACAAAGCTTTAAAGCTGAAAAACATAAAAAAAATGCCCAATAAAATGCGTTTTAATTTTTTTTAAAGCTTTGTAGTAAATTAAATTATCTACGAAAGATTAATTTCTGAAAATCTTCACTGCACTTATCCTAGCCAATATGAATCCAACAAGATCCCAAACAACAAAATTCGCTCTCCAGTTTTGAAGATAAATCTCACTATAAATGAAAATGAAAATGATTTTTTTTTGCGGGGCTGTTCACACCGACGATTTTTTGGATTTAAATTGTTATACCACTAGGGTGTGATATCGGAAAATATTCATATTATAAGCACACTATTCGTTATCAAATTTAATAAATAAAACAAACAAAATGACTTTAATACCTATTATATAAATTAATTTTCAATTAATAATTTCCTTAAAGTACAATTTTAGTTTAATTATATTTTAATAAAATAGTACATACAGTTAATATATTTCTAAAAATTAAAAATCAAGAAAGTTTACATGTCGATCTTTGACTTGGCAAGTTTTTTTTTTTTAATACCGAAATTATATTTGAAAATTGTATTACATTTTTGTCGGGAAAATTCAAAATAGCCAGTTTGTAAATCTAATTTTTTTTGACAAAACGTACATTAAATAATACATTTTCAAAATATTATTTTTGAGAATTTCCTGATATAAGAATATTTCTTAAATTATTTAGTATCCATATACATTTTATAATTTATTTCATAAGTTTGAGTAGTGTCAATTTTTTTTTCTTGTTAGGTCTTTCTGTTACAGCACGCTTTATAAATAAATTATAAATTATTCATAGAAATAGGAGCTGACACACGGCTTCCGTGTTTCCTATGTGTAAAGATTTATCATTGAATTAAAATTTAATTGATCCATTAATGTGACGTGTTCATTGATGAGGTGCATCACTCAGTATTCAGCTCGACTTTCCTGCGATCATTTTTTATATTAAATTATCTAGTTTACTTACCATATTTAGTTAAAATATTGACTTTATCTATAGGTAATATTTATTTATTTATTTAAGTAACTTGTCGTTCACTAAGTAATAGGTACCTGAAAAATAGTTCTTCGTAGGTTATGTAATTCTAGCGCTACCTACCTATAGATTTGAACTCATAATTTCGCCAATAGGCTACATAGAAATTAGCAATAGTCTAGTACCTAATCAGTTTTCATTACTTATTAGCATATATTTATTAGTTCACAGTAACATTATAAAGAATTCCGCAAAAAGTATGTATATTTTACGTAGGCAATAATGTACCAACCAATTTAATGAGTATAATATGGAATATATGAACGCGTGTTACACTTACTCGACGTTGTTCTCGTATCCCATGGCCGTAAGCGTGTTGTCGATTTTCAGCACCTCACCGTTGGTGACGTTGTTGAACTCCATTGCGCAGTGTATCTAAATATGGCACTCTTCTGTTTCCACAAAAACTTCAGGAAGATTCAACAACAATGTATTATAGTAACGGCTTTGAATCTGTACCGTTACGTATACTAATATTGTATCTAAATATATAATAGTTGCGATATTGAATGTTTGAGTGAGCGTGTGTGATTTTGCTTTGTAATTATGTAAGTTAATATTTAATGTGTAATGGCGTATACGACGGAAACGACTGCGACTACACGACACTGATCTCGAAAACAGGACATCGGGCCTCAGGCCGGAGCGCTAAGAGCACAGCGTTCCTGCGGGAGATGCGCTACACTCGGCCGGACAGGCTGTTGTAGTGTGAGAAAAGAAAACAATTCGATTGCAAAAGAGCTGGTTGCCTGAAAATAATGAAATATTAGGCCTCTCTTTCCGGCTACAACTATTCAACTATTAAAGGATAAATAAATAACGTATTATCCAAATCAGGAGGCTGATGACGAAATATCTGTTACGGGCTGTTACCTACGTCTGCCATGTAGAGACTATAGAGGGTATGCGGTATAAGATTCTTTGTTTTGAGTCAATAAAAAGAAAATCTTGTACTTTTCAGTTTTCTTATTAACTGGGAAAACAAGAATATTTAAATAATACAACCGGCAGTTATCAATAGAATTTCGTTTATACATTTCTTGTATTTTAGAAAGGAATCGTCGACTTAACGTGTTCATCAAAATGATATAGAATAGTGTTTTCTAAGCATCAGTACCTAGGTAGTAGGTATGAACCTAATATTTAAAAATGTTGCATATAATTAATCAAATATTTGGGGGTGCTAATCACTCACTTAGACCATCTACCTATTTGAGTCTGTCAGCAGTTGATGGAGTTACGTTTTATGTAGTGGCACCAATCCTAATCTTGAGCGATGGTTCGTTTTACGTATGAAAATTATTAATAAACTACTCGTCCATTAAAGATTGGCGTAGTATAGCAGATAAACATCGTTATATCTGCTATACGCCTATACTACGTCAATCTTTAAGCAAATAGATTTTTGACATGTTTACCTAAACAAGGAGACGCATTATATAATAATTCTCTGGCTAACGAAAAAAAAACTAAATGGACAATTAATCTAATTGAGTTATTAAAAGTTAACTGTAAAATGTTGGTACAAGCAAGCTTTGTTAAAAAGTTTAAAAATAATTAACCTTACGATCATACTTAATGCAAATCATTGATACAAATGATCAAAATAATAATTAATAGTAATGACGACAGTGTCATTAACTGCAGTATTACTGTTTTACTATTACTATACCTACCGAGTAAAAAAAAATGTCAACTTACAACTATTTTATTATTATATTACATAAATTAAACAGTTAACTTAATAAAGTTATTTTTTCTCTTGAGAAATACGATTTTTTCGATAACGATTAATTGTTATTTGTCTTTTTAAATAATATATTAATATTGTTTTATCTACTGGCTAAGAATTAATCGTTCGTTAATATAACATTACATATAAGGATAATTACTTTTATATAATTATTGTTATTGTTATTTTTATTTTTTGTGATTGGAGTTTTTGAGTATAATATTGATGCGGGCCTACCGGTATAATATTACTAAACATGTTTTAAGTGGGTATATTATCCTTCTTTTTTTTGTATAAAAATTGTAATAATATTAATAATAATAATAATGTAATACCTATATATTTTAATTATTCGAATACTAATAATACTGTACAGTAAATGACATAGGACCTATCATAGGTACATTATATCATATATATAATATACAAAAAAAAAATGTGACTGTATTTTGAATATTTTTCAACTGCCAATGTAACAATTTATTGGGAGCATTGTATTAAATTTTCAAAATTATTGACCCAACAACTAGAATTGTATTGAGAAAAAAAAACTAAAAACATTGGAAACTGAAAAGTTCCGTAAACAGCTCAAAAGAAGTGAACATTTTTTAGTGTTTAGCCAATGCTAATATATAAATATTCAATGAAAATTGCACGTATCTATGATCAATTATTTTAGAGTTACACCAAAAACCAAAATTGATTTTGCGTAAAAATTACCGTTTTTACTCAATTTTTTTTTTTTTATCTCCCCAATGCACCAACTACATTCAATTTCCCATCAAACTGAAGTTGAAAATCGAAGCATTATTTCGACTTTCTATAGTATACATAAAATGTGTATATGTATATAAATAAATATATATCGAGGACATAGAAACAAATACATTTTTTTCAAAGTTAAAAAAAATTAAAAACCTAAAACCCCGGAGAATTTACTAGTTTTAAAAATCGGGAGAGTTTACCACCGCCGAAGAGAAATCCAAACTTTTTGATAAAGCCACTTGCCTCTCTCGTCAGCATATGCGTGTGGCGTGTGGCGTGTCGTCCTTTTAGCCAGTGCACGCGCACCAACCAATACCCGTTACAGCAACAACTTCTCTGTACCGAATCCTCCGACGACAACTGAACTCCTTATGACAAGAAATAATCAGTATGTTTTATTATTTCGATTCTCGTATTTTGATTAATTAATTATTTCATATTTGTGCTAAAAAATTCCAAAACCGAATAAAGGCTTAAACTATAATGAATAGCGCATTCTTATTGTTACCCAAATAAATTATTTGACTTTCACTTATATTACAAGAAAATTAAATAAATACTTGAATAATATACCTATTTTAATAATTTAATGTTAACCTCATTCCACTTTTTTAATGGTTCGTATAGACAGTACACATACTATAATAATCCAACAAAATATTAATTGAATTACATTTACATTTAGTAACAATTAATGTAACATGTTCGGGGGTGCAGGGAGAGGAGCCCCCACTTTTTTTTTACTAATTATAAAGATGGTAGGGCTGAAACCCCTTCTAACTAAAGTCTAGTAACGCCTATGTGTATATGGTCGAACAACCTAACCTACCACAAATGCAGAAAGTTCACTTCGGATTAAATTGATCTGTCATATCAATTAATAAAAACGTACCTCACCTAACATGATCAATGTCAAATTAATTTTGGAACAAAAACTTGAGGAAGACGACAATTATTAATTATATAATGGTGGCATTAATTTTTCCCTTAAAAATTGCTGTAGTTTAAAACCAATTAAAAAATAGTACATATTAATGCAATGAGATGTATACTACTCTATGTAAACTATGATTAGAGAGTGTATCCCTACAACTTTACACATTTAATTAGTTTAGTTACTTAGTTGATATAAATAAGCTTTAATAATAAATAAAATTGCATAGATATTAAATACATTTAATCATAAAAATTAAAAACTATACAATTATAGCATTACAGTATTACTAATAAAAATAACAAATCAGCTCAATCAACACTCTTGATGAAAAGTAAAAACAAAAATATAATTATTTCTTATAATTCTAATTGATTAAAAAGAAATAAACTTCCGTTTGAAAATTGTTTGCCAATTTAAATAATGATCAATGAGTACATACAGTACGACAAAATAACATATTAATCATGTGTTCCTTTACAAATGTTAATAATTTATATACATATACATTTGGTGGTTTGAACTCAATTGGAAACATAAACAAAATAAAAATAATTTATCATTTATCATAAGAAAAATATACATAAACCAATATGTATAACATAAATATTCATCATATAGAATTTAACTCTTTAATAAGATTGACAATTTCGGTTGCCGTTGTGTAACGTTTACAAAGTGTGTGTTCTAAAGATTGATTGATGTAAACCGAAGCTCTGAATGTTCTATCCAGAACAATGCACTTGTTTGCAGTGGGGACACCGTACTTGTCAATTGACATGTGTGAAATTACATATCTTGGTGGATTGGTGACAATGCTTAAACTCCATGATGGCATTGTTTTTGAAAGTTCTAGCATCAAGTCTTTTAAGTTTTTTTTTTCATAGGCCGCACCCTCTCTGATAGGTTCTAACTTGTACTTTACATCTATATTTCCACTTACGTAATTTACATTTAGTCCTGAATGGGCTTTAACATCTATGGGTGATATTTCTACCATGGATGGTGTCACTGATTTGGAGTATGTTGTGTGGAATACAGAAAGGGGCTCTTCTACAACTGTTTTCATGAGATAGTTAGTAGGGATGTCAAAACGTTTAGAAAGGATATTAATTTCATGTTCTATACGCGATTCTAATTCATTTTTAACAGACTTTGAGGCAAATTTTTTCGAAGTCCGCTTAGCTATTTTATTTTTGAAGTCCTTAATAACTCGTTGAGGCAATGCCTCACCACTAGGCATTTGTGATTGTGATGTACTGATTTCTTTCATGGGGGAAGGCTGTTTCTCGATAATATCCGGTGGTTCTGGTGACTTTTTTTTAATTTTTTCGTTATCTAATTCTCTACATTGTCGGCTGATAGCTTCAGATAGTATAGCCATGCCATAACTCATTTCAGGATTTTCAGTGCTTATCATTGGAACTGATAAATAGTCAGGATCAGATATTGATTCTAGTGTACTTAAATGTGATTGTTGATTACTATTATTGGAAAATGTATTCTCAGTACCTGTTGTAAGTGTTATAGAGACATTAGATGAGCTTTCACTAAATTGTGTATTGCTAACCCCAACAGCACCAACAGATTCAGGCACAGCATCATTGCAGACAGCTGGTATTGATTCTTGAAGAGGAATATGGTATGAAAATGTTATATTATCATTTGTATGCACCACAGGAACATTTATTGACGACTTATTCATATCATCATAAGCCGGAATTGGGGTATAGTAATAAAATGTACTTTTTGGGTCAAATTCTTCTAACAACTTAGTTTTAACTTTTTTACAGTTAGGAGTTTTAGATTTTTGAGTTTTTGAAATTTTCTTTTTACTGTTGACATCTAGAGTCAATTCACTAGAAAACTCTTCATTATTGGCTTTTAATATATTTGTTGACAATTTGTCCCCACTCCACTCTTCACTCCATTTCTTTTTAATTTTTGGCGGTTTATTATTACTTCTAAGCATCATTGTACTATCAACAGAATTTTGAGATAACTTTAAGCCCTCGTTACTACACAGTGCCCTAGAAATTAGGCCCAAATCTTGAGTTTGATTTAAACTATCTTCATTATTAAACATACTATCATAATCAGGCTTTTGACATTTTTCTTTTTTTAATGAAGCACGACTACGTTTTCTAGGAATTTCAATTTTATTGCTTGTTTCATGATCAAAAGTTATGCCAATTCTTTTCGTACTATTCAGCAAAGGCTTTTTTTTATTGGAAACAATAGATTTGGGTGTTTTACTCTTAGGAGCTTCTGGTACAGCAAAGTTATCATTCATTTCAAGTTCATGTTGTGTTTCAGCATTGATTATAACATTGTTCATGGATTTTTTTTTAGGAGTGGTAGATTTTGGTGATTTATTTTTAGGAGTTTTTATTGACATAATACTGTTACTTTCTTCAAGTTCAGAAGATGTATTATTTTTGCTAACATTACTCAACACAGGCTTTTTTCTATTTGAAGTATTATCTTTAGGTGTCTTAGTCTTAGAAGATTTTAATGGTGCAACAAAGGTATCAGCTTTTACAATATCATTAAATGGTTTGTCTTTGTTTACATCAGGTATTAATGGTTTTTTTCTAACTGCGATAATGGATTTGGATATTTTAAACTTAACAGGTTTCGGTTTTGTTGACCACCGTGTAGATGTTTTTGCTTTATTATCTATAGAATTAACCGTACAAACTGTAGAACCAGATGTTTCACTAAGATCGTCATTAATTAAATAGCTCTCTGTAGACTTTATAGAAGAATCTTGGATATTGGTGTTCTTAGTTTCTTGTTGAAGAGTATCAGTTTTTCCGGGTTCAAGTTTACTCAACTTGGGTTTTTTGATCATGCAGTTTTTTTTTTTTACATTTTCTATATTAGGTTTAGTACGTTTTCTACTTATCCTACCAGATCTTTTTACTTCAGCATTAGCTTGATTATCAGCCACCAAAACATCTTCATTGTTTGATGTTGGCAGGTCATCATAACGCAGCAGTTTCACAGCGCAATTTAAATTCATGTTGTTGATCAACTTGGTAGTCATCGAGGATTTTAATCAATAATAACTAAATTAAAAATTACAAAATTAATAAAATTATTTTTATTTGCATAATAACAGTATAATATACATACCTACTCAAAATTCAAGGTGGAATTTACAATCATTGGTTTTTATCTTGACTATACTAAATAATCGTCTATAATCAATCCACACCTAAACAAAATTTCAAAAATTTAATAAATGTCAATGGCTAACAAAAATATTATCATAGGATCAATGAAAAAAAAAAAATTATAGGCAATAAATTAATCGAGAAATGAATTACTATTTTATACTATTGATTATTTTAAATGCATATTTATTAATCTAAGCTACTAAAATTAAAAATCAATAAAAGTTATGATATCATATTTTGTATCAATAAAATTTATAATGCTTTTTCAATTAACAATTTGAATTCGTAAGACTCAGCGGTTCTCAAACTATGATTTGAGGGCTAAGTTATGACCATTTTACGCAAAATGTGCAAAAAATCTATAGTTTAAAAATAGTCATAACATGCTTAGAAATAATAGTGTCATTAAAATCATTCAAGATGTTTCAGACAATATTCTTACTTAAAAATTGTGATTTATTAAAAATATATTAAAATATATTAATTATATTAATTATATATTAATATATTAAAATATATTTATTAAAAAAGTGATAAATTCACTCTAATTTTAGAGATTATTAAGTTAAATGTATTATTGTGAATGCAAAATTTGTCATGTTGTACATTTGTAAGACAGAGACAATAAACGACTGTGTAGCATCTTCTTAAAATAAATTTACTTAATAGGTGTTACTTTTTGTACTAACTAATAACAAATTATTATTGTTTTGATATATTGTGGAGCCCACATTCATCAATTAAATTACAACCAGTGTTTTGTTTCAGTGTTATATACAATCTTAAATAATAAAATCTAGAATACAAAATAAATGCTCACTATTAAAATATAAACAAATATTACAGCATTATTTCTGTCTCAAATGCTAGCAGCACATAAGTAAAAACATTTCATCAAGCAAAATTGTATTTCAAATTTTTCAAAATAAAACGGAAAAATTATAAAATCTAAAGGAAAAAGTTTCCACAGTTTTTTATTTTAACTAACACGCTTCTATACACAAAAATACAATACCTCCAAAGCCGCTTAAAATGTGGTTCTCTGCAATGTTATGAACATATGTTTTTCTCACAAACATTAAAATCAAATTGTTGTGATGATACTGTTAAATACATTTTGTGATGCAGTGTATGTAAAAAACAACTATTTTAAAACACAATAATTAGTCATTAGTACAAGTTACAAGGTGTTGTTCGAATTTAAGAAAAAGCTTACAAAAGTCTAAATGAAAAGCAAAACAAATAAATGAAATTAATAAAACAATAAAAATTGAGTCAGCTCATTAAAAAAAAAATAAATGTTCTTTATGCCTAACCAATAGCAGATATGCAAACAAATAACAATGCTGTATTAGGTAGTTTAATATATAATAATATAAGTTAGAATTAAAGAGTGCAAAATTTAGAAATGACATTAGGACATTTAAGAGGAGATAAGAGTTACAGAAACATGGCTGTCCATAAACATTTAGCTTTTTTAGTCCTAAATGGTGGCACATTTAAGAGGTGTGTAACTTATAGGTCTGAATTACTCACTACAGTGATCTATGACTGAATCTGCCTCTCAAGGCTGTCCATGATTTATACATCTGGCCAAGACAATTTATTGACAAGACAAATGGTGAACAGAAGACAGCGGACATCATAATATTGTCGGTGTACAAACGACGATAACAACGATTATCGTATTGAGGGTAGCACTTGAAGTTGTAGTTACGTTAAATTTGAAAAATTAAAACAGCGATCACTTAGCGGTTGGCTAAAACCTGGTCGGCTGGGGTCACAAGTTTCATTAACATAAATCGTAGATTACATTTCACGAAAAGGTTCGAAGGTAGCTGCTGCATGGTCGTCGCGTGTGCAAAAATAATATTTAGAGCGCTGTGGAGGTGGACCGCGATTTGTGTATTGTGTATAAATATAATATTATTATTATTTAACATTTATACGTGAATGATGATAACAGTGATTTCAGATAGCTTGATAATATGGCGCGCGTGCGCACAACCAGATAACCGGTAACGCGGGAAAAAAAAGACAGGATAATAGCCCGAGACACTCGAGACAGACCGCTGACAGAGCGCACCACGTAGGTCTGTCGATCGTTGGAGTTCAAACTAATCGAACCAGTGCACGATTTAAGATAGAACATTAGATTATCTTATCGTGGTCCTGTGTTGGGAAAAATATTTATGAATTAGAATGTTGATAAGTAATAAATATTATTGTATAAGGTTATAATTATTTCATCAATAATTTTTAAAAAAGTATGAATTTCAAATACGCTCATTTAAATTGTTGATGTTTATTATACATAAATAAAATACTACTAGTTAATTTCACTCATACACAATATAATATATATATATATATATTAACAGCAATGTTACATCATCTTAATCCTAAAATATTGACAATACAATAAATTTAATTGAGACACTTTTCCAGTAGTCGTCAAACAACTATTTTCTATTCAGTAATTAATAATTATGTTTTTAATATTTATTAGCATAAGTAATATTGATAAAGATTCACCTAGTCCCGTTGATTTATTATAATTCGTAAATATTATAAATAAATAGAGGTACCCAATTAGTAAATCGTAAGCACATTATTTATCTTCGGTAGTATTAAAAGCATGCGTAATCATGGTAACGAGACTCGCTTTTTATATTATCATGGATAATATTAATTTCTTCGATAAATTACCTACCTACTAGAATTCTGAATGTATTGATGTAAAAATAGAAATTTTCGTTTTAATTTTTATTTGGAAATTCTATAAGAGTTTTAATTAATAGTTGTATGTTTGTAAGACGATGTAAAACTAAAAACTACCGATTTTATTATAATATGTTATATAGAGCTGTAGACGAGGAAAGGATAAATAGACACCATAAAACTACAAATTTTAAAAGTATTCAAAGGCGGAGTCTACTGTCTGTGTCGGTAAATAATATATTAATTATTCATGATAAGTTATTTATAGGTATATTGTACATTTTTTTTCTGGGACTGTACTGTTTTCACAAAATTCGGCCCCCATGCTATAAGTATATAATACCTGTACAAACTACCATATTATTTGATGAATTTGTTCAAAAATAATTAAGGCGGTGGAATTGAATAACGACAATTAATATTGATAATAATATAAGTACCTACTATAAGCAACTATAAATAAATAGGTACCATAATTTATTTGTAAACAAAATATTAATTATAAATTATACTTATAATAAAGTTATAACTAACATTATTACCAAGGTTCGAGTATATTATTAAGTGAAAACTTGAAGTATTAATATATAATTTATTATCAATAACCAACATAACATAGTAAATCTATTATCTAATTTATGTTTAAGATGATGATGATTGATGATGATACATATTAGACGCACAACACGATTTGAAATTTGGAATAACTTATTATTATAAAATGTTTTGTTACTTTATACGTATATACTCTATAATATGATATGATAATAAAAAATAAAATATAAATCTGATTACACTTAAATATTTTATAATGTTTTGATGATAGTTGGCTTTATTTACAATAATTACAATTATATTTATATGCTTATATTGTCACGAATCAAATCAATTAATTATACAATTTTGCAATAAAATATACTCATCAAAATTACAATAATTAAAACGACTAAATTAACTTGATTTGAATGTATCTAAATAAATAAGTAAAAATAAGATGGTTTAAAAAAAATGTACAACACAAATTACACTATCCCTAATATAGTGTTATCTATATTCTATACTAATATTATAAAGACAATTTCTTATTTATTCGATGTAATCTTTGAAACTACATAACAGTTTTCAAAAATTGTTTTGCCATCAGAAAGCTACATTATACCAAGGATCTATACTATCTAGAATATAGGCTATATTTTACATCGATAAATGGCTCTGAATTTTATATAGCAAATTTGAGAATTTTTATAGAAATAATAAATAGTAATATATTTTTTGGTTTTGGTTATTATGATTGATAATAATTTTAATAGCCAAACCCATCAAAATTATTGTCTCAAAAATCTTTTATGGAGATTAAGATAAGGTAAATCCACTCGAATTTGTATCGAAAAGTTTTGATCAACTACGCCGAATATCAAATTATGAATATAGAACACACATTTTGGTAAAGGGCAAAGAAGTGCAGGGATCAAGTTTATAGTATTGTATATATGTGTGACTAATTACATCAATGAAGAAAGAGAAATATTAATTTGTGGCTGTGGAGGTAATAATTTTAGCTAATGCCTAATGATTATGAATCTACGTGATAAGTCTGATCGTTCTTGTTTATATTTTTTAAACTATTAATAAACAATAATTACATAAATAATGTGTAAACTAACCATGGCCCAAGGGTGAGTTTTAATTTTCTGAATGTTTTGCCATTTAAATGTTCAGTAGGTTTAATTAAGAGAGCCGGTCATATCAATGGGTAATATAAATACTTTTCGAGAACAGATCAAAATACAGCAAACAATAAAGAGCTGAATAACATATTGCATCAAAATCGTACGGAATCGTAATTAATATAAATATCGTCGTGACAATAATATTATGTCTTATGCGTATTTAATATAATATGTATCATTATTGCCAATAGCGATACTCACTAAAAACCCGTTTATCACAACAACATACACGCGTGGGTATAAAATATTTACGTTTCAAAACTATAATACTATATGATCAGTGCCGCATACACAATAATGTCACCAAGAATTATGATACTTACAAGCATTTTCGGCAAACGCAGCAACATAAATTGGTTGCAACCCACCACCGACTTCCGAGTGTCCGGCAAAAGTACACAACAAGTCGACAGCAATAACGTGTGACGTGTGTAACAAGTAACGACTACGATATAACAAAAATAACGACCAACGACATTAGTACACCACGAGTTGCGGCAATAATAGTGATAACAAGACGCGACAGAGCGCGTGGTCGCGAGTATTTTACTTGGAGGTAGGTATACTTGTATAATAATAATACAACAATACTGCTATCGCGACGCGTGTGTGCCACGGTGCGCGCGGGCCGTCGTCGCGGTGCCGACAATGTTATGGTACCCTGTTATTGTGGTATCAAACTTAACCCTCGGTGCTCGGTTTAATCCGAGGTTTAATACTTCGGAAACTACTCCAGCCATAATCTCGCGGGCCCGCAGGACGGGTCAGGATTATCATGGGCGGGCCCGATTGCCAGCTGGTGCAGCTCGCATTGTGCCGGGCCGACGGTGATGGACCAGGGTTCTATGAACGCAACCAATCAGGCTGTCGCCGCCCGCCTGTAAGCGGGACGTAGTAAGTTGTATAACATTATATTTTATATTGTTATGCAAATTATTGTTATATTATCTTGTATTGTTATTGTTGTTACTTGTTATACGACCTCGATGTAATTCAAATTCTAGTGCTGGTTACCGTGGATTAGGCACCGCGAAAAAAAATCAAATTCGAGAGTTCTATGGGTTTACCAAGTATAAGTTAGTCTAATCTAACGTAATATAGGTAAACGAATTAACTCACAGAAAATCTTAACAAACTCATTGCAAACTAAAAGGCTTACGCCTTCATTTTACATGTTTTTAAATTGGGATAGGATACACCGGTGGGCAGTAATAGATAACGCCGCTCGCTTGTATACATATAATGTTATAATAACTAATATTTCGAATGTATAAACAAGTTAGGAAATTTCACTTTTCGAGCGTGCTAAATTCCCGGTTTCTTTTTTTTAATACAAAGCAATAAACCATAGTTCCAAGGAAAATTGAAAAAAAAAATTCGGTAACCTCTTATTTCGGTAGTATTTTTTGGATGTTATGAATCTTTATTAAAATATTAAATACTTATATAGTAAGTAATTATCATAATGCCAACAATTAAATATAATTAAATATCTTTGTACAAACAATCGTAACTACGAATAATAGTTAATTAATTAATATCTTAATATCAACAATTTGAACAATTGTAACTAATGCACGGTATAACTAATGAACGAACGGACACAACGGAGATATAAGGTGGACTAAACTTATGTTTAGAAACCTAATATGAATGTTGGTTTGTTTATTTGTTCGTCCTCTATAGACTCAAACAAGTTGCAGTGCTCACTCTGCGAGCATGCTAAATCGCCTAAATTCCCGGTTCCTAAACGTATTTCAATGCAACGCAATAAACTATAGTTTCACACATTTAATTAAAAAATAATTTGGTAAAATTGTAGCCTTTATATTTTGGTAAGTACCTAGGTACTACCTACCTATTTTTTTAATATTGGCTATTATATGAATCCGTATATTAATGTTTTAATACTGTCTTCTGACTAGAATATGAATTTACTTTGAATAGAACCGTTATAAAACCTTAATACAAACAATCGTATAACTATACGGACAATAAACACCTAAATATCTAAATATCTTACAAAATACGTAACTATAATGTACTGCAGATAACCATAGGCGGTACTAGACCCACTTAGCAGGGAGGCCAGAAAATATTTTAACTGTTTATACTACTAAACTAGCTAAATTACCCGGCTTCCAACTGTGTGTATTTTTGTTTTTTTCAAATTTACAATATAGCCCTATAACTTCTCGGAACAATTCTTATCTATATGAAGAACAAAAATGATAAGTTGCAGGTAGCTAGAAGACCGCGGACAGCGTATTATATATATTTTTTAGGAAACCAGGACGTCACAGAGCGCCTTATGAATACCATGTTCTCTTAAACTTATGTCTATGGCTCTATGCGCAGTACTTAGAGGCTGCAAAACAATTGTAGGTACCACATATGGCACGTTAGTTGAGCTCTGAATGTAATTCAATTGTCCTGAATGTAAACATAATGACTTCCTAAATAAATACAAATGTACTAACAA